CATCAGGCCTGAAAAACACAATAATTTCAGTTGCTGGACGACAGACATTGAATAATAGCCCTTGATATTCAGACAAGCATATGCTAAATCACGAGTTACATAGGTATTCATTTATAATGAACATACAGAATGGAACATGTATTCAACCAAGTCGGTATAAATTATTCACAACTTACTATCTCTAATTTAACAACGTTCAGTTGGCAGTGATGTGAACAGGAAAGGCAGAAATATGCAATGGATTGAAGACAACAAACGCCAAACGTTCAACATGAGACAACCAAATATTCCGAAAACTATTTATCATAGAGAAAAAAACGAGAGGCCAAAGTTGTATCATTTCAGAAAAAGAGTAGAATGGACAATTAATAGTTATTTATACACCATGGTAGTAAAGCATATCATCAATTATTACCCAGGGACCAAGATTATATCCAGAGGCTTCAGCCGAGGGGTATAAGGTACCGTGATAATTAAATTATTTACTACCAAGGTGTATATTAAATGTTTTTCACCACTAGCAATACATTTCAATCATGTTAGTTCTACGAAACTGAAATATGAACCTTCTGTCAGTATAAAAGTACTTCTTTTCAATTCAGCATATGACACGTCGTTATTGATAAATACCTATTGACCATTCTAGAACACGTGATGTTGACATGGTTTCTTTAGGGGCACACAAACTATCTGTTAGGTTGGTTACCTTTGATGAGCATAGCCCTGGCCATCCCTGCCACATCCACAATACAGGGTGGGCCACCAGTAACGCCTCGGTCTCTAGAAGGCTAACCACTTATCTTCTTGGAATTCTTCCTCTCTAGGAAGTTGCATGTCAACATAGGCTACCATTTTGAATTATTTTGAAACATACAGGATGTCCCCAAAAATCACAAAACACTGAAGTTGAACTTTTTTCAATCGAACACCCTATATATTATCTCATTTTGAGATTCTCCCTGGTGAGCTGATTTCAACAATCCATCATACTTGGGGTCTAGCAGTTATAATTACTGAGATATAGGGTGTGAGAAATCGAGATTTTCCAAGTTCAAGAATTTTTTGTGTCTAAACCATTCATAATTGGTCAAAACGGCTCACATGTCCCTATCTCAACTTTTGATCAACTATCTACTGACATTTAATTGAAACAAATACAGGGTGGTGCAGAATTCAGAATTTTGATCACCCGGTATATGTCCCAATTAAATATCAGTAGATACTCAATCATAAATATCAGTAGATACTTAATCAAAAGTTGAGATAGGGACATGTAAGCCGTTTTGACCAATTATGAATAGTTTCAACACAAAAAATTCTTGAACTTGGAAAATCTCGATTTTTCACACCCTATATTTCAGTAATTATAACTGCTAGACCTCAAGTATGATGGGTCGTTGGAATCAGCTCATCAGGGAGAATCTCAAAATGAAATAATATATAGGGTGTTCGATAGAAAAAAGTTTAACTTCAGTGTTTTATGGTTTTTGGGGACATCCTGTATGTTTCAAAATAATTTCAAATGGTAGCCTATATTGACATGCAACTTCCTAGAGAGGAAGAATTCCAAGAAGATAAGTGGTTAGCCTTCTAGAGACCGAGGCGTTACTGGTGGCCCACCCTGTATAATAACAGTTTCACCGAACCAAAATTATGTAAAAACTTCACAAACGATAAGATTTCCACAAAATTCTCAAACACACGACATGTTTCGTCAGGTGATATACTGGTACAATGAACTGTACCAGTATATCACCTGACGAATCTACTGTGTTAGCGAAACATGTCGTGTGTTTGAGAATTTTGTGGAAATCTTATCGTTTGTGAAGTTTTTACATTTGCCATGGATTTCCATGAAGTAACGGCCGAGTCAATAGAAAAAAAAAAATGAAATTCTTTCTGTTTCCAATTCGGTTTCCAAGGTTTCCACTAATTCTGGTTTCATATGACAATTCCTGACAGAATACAATGTTTGCTCCTCAGCAAACTGTCAAATGACGTAATTCTGGAATGATTAATTAGATTAGGGTGTCATTCCTGCGAATGTCGCATAGGAACAGTGGATTCAGGTTAATTATAAAAGAGGTGGCTATGTCTTTATTAACTAGTGGTTCATAAAATGACGAAACCTACCTTGGTAATAAAAACACACTTTACGACTCGAAAAGGAGTAAACAATGGTAGGTTTTCTAGCTAGTGACGGAAAAATATTTATCCATTTGACATTGGAGAGCAGAGAAAAATTCAAAACTTTTACCTGTGACACTTTCCCATTTGACTCTGGGTTGAAAAGTTCAGTAAAAGTGAAACTAGAATCTCATTTTCGAATACCTTGCTAAATATTATAATGTGTAATGTTTTAATGATATCAATTCTTAACTAGGATAGTTTTCATGGTTATGGTGGTCAACTTTCTCAGTTTGAGTTTCATCATTCAAAACTAAAATGAAATGGAAAAATATCTGAGACAAAAGTTGTTCTTTCACTTTTCTGCTGCCCAATAAAAAGTAAAGAAAATATATACTTCCATTAGAAAATCACAAAAGTGACTGCAATGACCGCGAAACAAGAGTCCAGGGTAGAAAAATGTTTTACTCTTCTTCTAAAACAAAACAACTTTTCATCTCTCAATGTCGATGGACCACTTTATATTTTGACTGTGATGATTTCTGAGTTTTGCAAAGTATAACAGCGTTTTCTTCAATTATAACACTGAATGATCGATAAGAACTACGGGTGAAATAAATACACTTATTTACAAAATATCCATAAAAATTAACACAAATGAACTTGGAGAGTAGGTATATATACAAAATATTAAAATTCTATCATATATGTACACCTAACCTAAGAAGTTATTGAACCGCTCCACACTTTCTACAGTTCCACAGTTCAATTCATCGTCCACAATTGTTGAAAAAAAGTTCAGTTTTTGGTGAAGATAAAATATTTTTTGATGTCATGGAGCCGCAAATTAATTGAAATTTTATTGAGTTCGGTTCATGAGGGAATGACATGATAACATTTAGAACAAGTTAGGATGAATAAAGGGGTTGAAACATTACCGAAACAATTATAGAATTTTTTTAAAGAAGGAGAGTTTTCACAATTTCATTAACATGGAAGAATTATGGACAGATTTTGAGGAGAAAACATTTTGGACAAACCATAATGGACTAATATTATGAGAAGCCTGCTGCTGAACCGCTTCAAATGGAATAATAAAACAATAAGATATTTGGATATGTATAAAAGCAAAATACATCAGACCAAATATTGTGTATAATGATCTTGATTACCCAATTGAAACCACATATTATTCTTCCAACCTCAAAATAGATTTTATATATATTAATTTTGTTTGAGCCAATTCGAAGTAGGATATTCTACTATCCGATGGTTATTTATACCTGTCGGATTGGACATTCAAAAGAAAATTAAAAAGCTATTATTTCGGGAAAATTCAAAAACTTATAAATGAAAAAGTTGTTTCCTTTGAACAATTCGATTGTATTCTTTATATGTAAAATATATTAAAATAATACTAATATTTTAACTCATAGAGAGGGAAGAGAACCCCACAAAAATTTGGAGCAATGAATATTATTTTCGGCACTGATACTAACATACTATAATTTGTGGGCATTTTCAACAAGATTCATAATTTCATAGTTTTTATTCTCGGTAGCTACTCAAACATTTTCAACCATCTTGATATTACATCAACAAAAATGCTACTGAAAATCTTTCTCAACCCTCGATTAATCCACCATATTTCCGCCATATTCACCTATGCACTGAGTGAAAATTATTTTTAGTGATGTTCTTTTGTTCTGAACTAACTGAAGTATTTCACTTGAACTGAACTGAATCAGTTAACATGCATTTTATCAAATCTATCGAAAGAACACATGTTAACTGATTCAGTTCAGTTCCAGTGAAATATTTCAGTTACTTCAAATTGAAAGAATATCACTATTTCACTGGTTCAAAACTACATGCATCTCTTTCCCAATAGAATACGAGAGCTGCCACTAGTGTTTCCAATAGAATATAAAATCTGCACTGTACCTTCAAATTCGCTATGAATTTGCAGAACCAAAATGAAAAAATCCCGTACGATGCTGACCGCAACAGGAACACCGTAAATGACAGAAACCATAAGGTGGAGCGCTTCAATCCAATAGCTCTTTACTCATATAAAAGCAAGGAGACAAACTGATCATGTGGTGTTCTCTCCTCCTCCACTTCTTATAAATCTTCCCCCTCCTGGACATGACATGTCAAAAATGTTACTAAACATATTTTGGTTCTCTCAACTTCTGATTGATCCGCCATGTTTATCAGTGCACTGAACGGAAATTATTGCACAGAGTACGAATCAACATGCACCACTTTCCCAATAGAATATAAAACCTGCCATTAGTCTTTCCAATGAAATATAAAATCTGCGCTTATTACCTCTTTGCAAAACCAAAATTTAAAAAATCCCATATGATGCTGACTTCAACAGTGATACTGTAAATGATAGAAACCATCAGGTGGAGCCATTCAATCAAACAGTTGAAAGCAAAGATAAGACAATCTGATTACCTTTCTTCATATACTGTTTTTAGCTCGTTCGCACGCAACGTCCTTCAAAAAAGAAGAAAAAGAAAGAAAGGTTTACATGAAAACTGACTAGCGATGTACGGCCTGGAATGGTGGAAGACGACTTCTTGATTTTATCTTTAATAAATGGCAAATTTGACAGGTATAGGCAATCGATAGAAAATAATCTTCAATGTTATCAAATATTATTTTCAAAATTATTCATGGACTCTAATAGCACATTCCATTGGTGAAATTAGTTACATAATTGATGGACATTTTCCACAAAATTAAAGTGGAGTTCTCTCCTCTGTCACTCCTTATAAATCTTCCCCCCTTTTGGACATTACATTCATGTTACTTAAAATATTTTGCCTCTCCCAACTTCTGATTGATCTGCCATGTTTATCTCAATCTGCACTCAGTACCAATTCGCAGAACCAAAATGAAAGAACAATCCCATACGATGCTAACTTCAACTGTGATACTGTAAATGCTAGAAATAATAAGGTGGAGCGCTTCAATAGAATAGCTGTTGACTCAAATAAAAGCAACAACAAGACAAACTGATCACCTTTCTTCATATACTGTTCGTAGCTCGTTCGCACGCAACGTCCGTCAAAAAAGAAAACAGGAAAAGAAGGAGAAAGAAGAAGTTTACACGAAAACTTTGGCTAGCCCGTCGGCGCCTGCGCTGGCTATGTACGGCCTGGAGGGGTGGAAGGCGACGTCCAGGATGCTCTCGTCGAACTTCTTCCGGTGGGCGGTGATCTCCTGGACGCAAGTCTTGTTGTCCAAGTGCCACAGCCGGATCGAGCAGTCGTGCGAGCCTGAAAAACGCGTTACCCGACGTTCAAACGGTTCTATACCTTTTCGAGTTCAGATTGAGACTTATCAATCTCAAATTGGAATTTAACACATCCAAATTGGTAAACAAATCCGGCTCGAAGGACCATGTTTAATTATAATGTCGATAGAGTGGACTGTATTAATCAATTCGTTGATTGTTGGATGTGATTCAGCGCAAGAATAATACTTGAAGAACCGTTTTATTCGAATGTCAAATCATGACAACAACTTCAAAATTCTGTCACATGTGTCATGTATGTTTTTTCGCTGCTCTGTCATCTTGACTCGACTCAGCGGTGTCGACGTTGTCTAGTGCTCGACGGTGTTATGAAAATTCACGAAATTAGAGATTAAGTTTTGAACATGTTCATTACAGTCGTTTGTAATTGAAATTCTTTCAGATATGTAATGTGATATATCGAAATATGTATTAGGTAAAATGAATTTCGTGTTTTATATTCTCAACAGATTTGCTGCCAAATTGAATATTTACATATTGTTTAGTTCCGATTTGAAATTGATTGGTTGAATTTGAATTTCTTTAATTTGAATTTGGATTCGTCAAATTCGCGCCAAGTCATTTTTTCCCAATTTGAATTCGGTTGTTCCCATTTTGAAAGTAATTAGTCTCAATTTGAATTTGTTTATTTTCAATTCGAGTGTGAAATCCAAGCTGAATCAGCCTGTCCTAATTTGAAGATGATTTATTCCATTTTGAAAATTATCAGTCTCAATTCGGAGTTTAGGAGGTATAGATCGACCGCTCATAAAACATAGATGTAAAGAAATTCAAATGGTGTTATTGAGCTCTTTCCCACCATACACGAGAGAGAGAAGAGTTCTCTGCTCCTCCATGTTTTCTCTTCAGTGCTACCAACGTGGGTGCATTAAAATAAGGAGATCCGATAACTCTTTCCTTGTCTAACATCTGGTCTGCACCACTAAACTATTCTCAATGTTTTATGATATTATATGTCTATGACATCTGTCATTGACTGAAGTCTCGAATTCGAATACTTCGCAAATTGTGTGGCCTGAACCTATATTCCATGCCGGCCACATCATATTATGTTTCAATTTTTGTAGAATTATGTTATCCGATGAAAATTCGAATAGAGTGAATTGATCTCCCGTGTTCTCACAGTTGGAAACTGCACAAACTTGCATCTTTCTCCTAATTCTCTCAATTTGTCAAACCTTTGAAATTCATGTCATGTACGTACGTGTACTGTCAGTTTCCGCTTTTTCCATATCAATTTATTTGTGGTTATATCTGATTGTCAGTGCTTGTCATAAAGTCCGTGGTCTAATACAGCAGTGTCAAGTACATTCAGGAACTCTAGCTGACCTGATCGAAACTACAATGTACTGGATGCTTTAGTTTGAAAAAGTTAATTCATGATGAAAGATCGAGAGTTTGAGTGATGTTAATTCATAGGCATTTATACTTCTCGACAATATCAGAGAACACGACCTATGTTTGTAATCTCACCTGAAAGCAGATACAGCCCGTTCGGATCGACCGCCAAGCTCGTCACCGCGTCCAGATGCGCTACCATCGAGTGTACCATCTTCCCCGTCCCGTTGTCCCAGAACCGGATGTGCCGGTCCTCGTGCGCCGTCACCGTCAGCGGCAGCGTCGGGTGGCACACGATCTTGTTGATGTGCCGCGACGACGCTGCCACGCCTCCCGAGCCGTCTGCGCCTGCGCTCGACGCCAATTCGAGGCGCACCACCGGCTTGCCGGTCTCCGCGTCGAAGATGACGCAGTTGGCGCTTTCGTAGGAGGCGACGAGCCTGTGCGGCTCGTCGCGCACAAAGTCGACGCTGGACGGGATGCCGTCCTGTTCGGAGATGTACGTCGAGAGGAGCTGTTGCTGGAAGGGAATGGTTCGGTTCAAAAGGAGGATGTGTCGAAACAACACATTCTTTATGAAAAAAGCTAGAAATGGATATAACTCATGATGATTAAATTATTGAATTTATAATATTCCATTAGAAAAATGAACAGAATATTAGTCTCAATCTCTAAATTAGAATTAAAGTATTGAAAAGACCTACACAAATGAAGTATCTTGGTATGTGGATTGATGAAAAATTGAAATGGGACAAGCATATAGAGTATCTGATACAAAAAATATCTCCAATCATGATCTGTATGCGATAACAAAAAAATTTCATTTAATGAATTGTATAAAATAGATTATCTCAAAGTTTCATATAATATCATAAACAATAATATGAAATCCAATTTTGTTTTGATAAGAAACTCAAAAATTCATGATCATCACACGAGACAATTAAACTTATTTTATCTAAATTCTGCTACTTCTATAATTCGCCAAAAAAAAATTACTCAAGCTGCTCTAGCTGAATTCAATAAATTACCACATACAATAAAAAATTGCAGACATATTTTAAAATTTAAAATTGAATTTGAAGAACACATGATTTTATTAAAAAATTGATAAAATTGACACTTTGCCATTTACTGATTAGTCCTGTTGCTATTTTTATGACTTGATCGATTTAGCATCTTCAGATTTTTCGAATTTCGAAGTATGAATTCAGATAATAAAGCCTGAATGAAGAGAATTAAGTCTCAATTCAAGGGATAAAGCCTAAACTCAGAGAAAAAAGTCAACATTTGGCTTCTCAAAAAATCTATCCAGACAAGAAGCATTGATGTCATTATATTATGACAACAATTTTTACAATAAATTGAAATCTTCGACTATGTTTTTCGACTTCCAAAAGGCATTTGATGCTGTGAACCACTCACTACTATTGAATAAATTGAAATTGTATGGAATAAGAGGACCTGCATTAACCTGGGTCAGTCATACCTCTCAAAAAAGAAACCAGCAGGTCTGTGTAAAAAAATGGGACTACAACAGTGTCAAAGCCATTGAATATGTCTAGTGGTGTCATTATAATGATCAATGATATCTTCCTGAACGTTCAAGATGGACTCCTGACACTGTATGCTGATGACACATCAGGGGTGTTAATCAGCAAAAATTATGTACACCTTGTTAATAGGTCAACCAATTGTATCAGTAACATGAAGAGGTGATGTGATACTAACGGATTGATATTGAATCTATCCAAAATAAACTTTATATTATTCACACCTATAACAACGATATCTGATATCTGCTTATTGGTGAGGCCTGGTAATGAAAATAATGTATCCATCAAACAGCAAATCTGTTAAATTTTTGGGTTTATATGTGGATGAAAATCTTTCTTGGGAGCCCCACACACAGAATTTGGTAAAATCATTGTCATCAAAAAACTTTGCAGTTTATCAACTAAGAAAAGTAACAAATACCGAAGCTATAATGTCATACTATTATAGCTGTGTACATTCTCAACTAATGTATGGCATACTGTGTTGGGGTGATAGTTCTGGTTCTGTAAAGGTATTCATCAGTCAAAATCGGATAGAGAAGAAGTATATTTGGTATGAGACCAAGGGACTCATGTTATTAGATATTCATTTCTCAAAAAATTGCAACCATTCAAAATTCTGACCGCTCTATACTTCACTCACGATGATCTTAAAAACATAGAGCCTGTGGTGATATTAATCATTATACAACAAGAAATGCAAATAAACTATTCATTCCTCCAGCTTCACCCGCACAGATTAGAAAAGGTCGTCATAACAGCTCTCAAAAAATATAATCATTAACCTGACTCACTTAAAGTTCTGAAGAATCCTTTATTCAAAAGACAGTGCAAATTATTCCTCAAAAATAAAAGCTACTTCTCTCTCACGGAATACTTTGATGATTTATTTTAATTTGTATCGTTCGTCCGTACTTCAGTTTGATACATAATTATTTGTAAACAGTTCTATGTTTGTTTTGTTTTTGTTTTTTCTCCCAGATCTTGGGCTATGTATGTATGTCTGGGATCGCAAGTCAGCCATGGAGAAGGCCGATCTCGCGAGCAAAAGAGACCAACTTTCTAAGCCAAATCTCTTCAACATCCTCTGGGTCCAGGATACTGCCTCCAAAATGGATATCCCTTGCTGCCACTACTGCCGGGCATTCAGTGAGGATGTGCGTAGAAGTCTCTTCATCCTCTAGGCACCATCTGCATTCAGGATCCTCCACTATCCCGATCGTGCTGAGATGCTTGTTCAAGTGGCATTGCCCTGTCAGAAGGCTCACCACCAGTTTCAGCTCCTTCCTGTTCAAAGCCATGAGGGCATTGGTCTGTCTTCGTGACGGGTTTCCTATATGGAGTTTGGACTGCCTCATTCCGGGAGCCTCTCTCCAGCTGTCCTGAAACCTTTCCGTCAGGATTTCCTTCATCCTGAAGTTGCGCCAGCCAGGATCAAGTGACCCCTAAGATTGGCTCTGGGCCAATCACTGAACCCTTCGCCCCCTTTCTGGCCAGACCATCGGCAATTTCGTTACCTGGCCCCCCTGAGTCTCCAGGGACCCACAAAAAACATACTTTGTTCGTTGCTGACAGCCTTTGTAGGCTATCTATGCACTCTGACACCAAGGTGGAGGTCACCCTATATGAGGTGAGCGCCTTGATCGCCGCCGTCAGTGCTCTTGGGCTAATGTCTAGTCATAATATTATTACTGTTTTCATCCTAAATTGATAATTTCTATACTTGTTGTACAAGTCTTATGAAAAATAAATACTTACTTACTTACATTCAGACACCGAACATCAACTAAAGATAAGAAGGCTCACTCAGCTAAAACTGTTTGAAATAGCAAAAACAAAGGTGGCCCGACACCCTTCTTCGGTGCCTCAGTTGAGCGGCGAGTCGCTTTGTGTATACGAGGACTGCTTATTTTGCGGCGTTCATGTTCAGCTGGTAGCGTTTATATAGGGATTGTTCAAAAAAGTAGGTAATCAGATAAATCATTACTTTATTCAACTCAATTATTATCACGGAACTGAATGAGCAAAAGGAAGAAAAAACGTGCTGACTAGAAAGACAATGTTAAAATAAAAAAGACTTCGACACTAAATAAATTAACTAACAAAATCTACCAATATAATAAAGGAAACAGGTGAACATTAAATATCCTATGGGTTGAAACCGATAGTTTTGGTGAATAAAGATATGAATCATCATAGGTTCTGCAATATAGATAACTTTATATTTGGATTTTCAATTTTTTTTGTCTTTAATTTCACGATTTATAGATTTAATCGTAAAATGAATACGAACTCTAGTGTAGAAAGATACAAAATACTCGAATGGGAAATTTTCACACGGATGTGTGAATTGTATATTCTCAAACAAATCTTTGAGGGTTGCACCAATATTTTGTAGGATAGCTATTTCATTGAAATTTCGAATGAAGATGTTCTCTAATCGTGTGACATATTCTACAATATTCACATGAGGTACATTCAAGCCACCAATTCCTTTGGTATTATAAGCTTTTGCCTCAAAAAAGCGGGTCGCTTCCTTTTTTAAAGAATTTTGTTTGTTATATTCCAGACATATATCACATGAATGTTGCAACAAACATTTTTTCAATCAATAGCCTGTGACATACACCAATGCATTACCACCAGTACTGGACAAATTTCCGTAATCGCTCGTAAATACCTTTAAGGGATTGTGTGATAATGGGGGAAGGATAATTTATTGCAGTATTCTAGCAAATCGGGATTAATGTTCATCAAAACTTCATTCATATCGTTTATGCAGTTTACACCGTCGACTTGATTAAAAAATTTCAAGGCAAATAATTTTCTGAAGGCTCTTGAAAACTGTATTGGTGTTGGATTTCTCGCATTGCCGCAACAGTTTCTAACTTGGCCAAAATAGTTCTCGATACAATCCTGATTGAGGTTTCTGGTTAATAGAAAATTATAATCCCTCTAGATTTCAAGGTTTCCCATAAAGCTTTAAACGACTTGATTGTTAACTCCCATCCATAAATGAAATGCAATTTGTTGTTCAGACAAATTTCTTGATTGTCAACAATCTTTATAACTTTCAAATTGCTTAACATACTTTCAATTTTTTCAAGAAATTGGAATTGTTTCTCTGTGCCCATGAATGCGTTAAAATTATTCAAATGGCAGGAATTTAATAAATCGAATAAATCATTCATTATTTTTATGAATTTTGCAGTAGTTACTTTTGCTTCTGGTGGTGAAACTTCAAAATCTACGTAGGTATAAAAAGCAGCAGCCACAGAATGACTGAAGACTTGCGAGGCATATTTCACCTTCATTTTTTGAAAATTACTGGGATTCAAATGTGCATTAGTTAATTTAGGACAAAGCTTGTATTGTTTTAGCTTGGCATTATAAAAATTTGCACTCTAAAAGCTAAAACGAACTTCGGAAATCAATTCGTGAACCGATTCCCAATAGCTCACCAACAAGGCACTCGGTATATCACGTCTACAACGACTCTTGCGCGCTCTCGCCGGTCAATCGGTATATGCGTTGGTATCCGATCTTCCAGAATCGGTGGGAGGGAAAAGAGGGAGGTATTCGCGGCAGAACGGAGAGTGACTCTTCTTATCTTTAGTTGATGTTCGGTGATTCAGAGAAAGACATATGAATCTAGAGAAAAAAGTCTGAATATAAAGGTAGAAGTATCAATCCAGAGAATTAATCCAAAATTCAGTACACAATCAACTAACCTTGCTGTGCGGACTCCACAACTTGACCGTCCCGTCGGCCGAGCACGAGAGCAGCCTGCGCTCGCCGTCGAACACCGACAGGCCCCACACGGCGTCCTGGTGGCCGCGCAGGGCGGCGTGCAGCACCTCGGGCTCGTACAGATCGTACGGGTCGACGTTCGAGGGCGGCACGTTCCAGCAGTTGATGGCGCCGTCGAGGCCGCCCGAGTAGCAGTGCTCGCCCGAGCCGGACATCGCCAGACAGAGGACGGCGCCTGGAGAAGAGAGAAAAGGTGAGTGGGTGGATATTTCTTTCACAGAACAAGTAGGCGTGGAATATTTCTTTCTTTTTTTTACTCACATAACTAAAATGGCATTTAGCGTACGGATATATACCACGCTAAATGATCGATTAATCACGGATTGTCGATCTGTGATTTATTCAAAATATTAAACACGTTACCATGGCAACACGATTTCTTAAACACATTACCATGGCAACGCAGTTCATTAAACACAGCTTCAGTAATTTGAGACATGTCTGGCCTGTCAATTGTATCAACTGTCAATTGTTATTTTCGAATTTTGTACCAGAATTATTCAAACAATATCCGTTTGTATCAGAATTCTTCATTAAAAATATATGCCAAAAGTAGACGAGAGTGAAATCGAAGAGAATGTTCTGGTACTTGCATATCTCCAAGAAGTGTGAAAATGAAGCATCCATCTTTGAGAACAATTCATTTATTCTGCGCTAAGCATGACAATAAACGTGAAACAAAGGTTAGTATAAGCAATGGACTGGACACATCTACAACCAATATCACTTATACGTGTTTCGCTGGTTGCATGCAGTTGCATGTATTATGTTCTCAATTCCCATTCCATTCGAATTATTTTGTAGGTTGACAGGAATTGCAGGTATGTTAATGTAATTTTCGGAGTTCGTAGAAAAATCATAGTATGTAACGCGTTTATAAACTCTTCTAGACACTCGTTCATTAAACACTCGCTCCGCTCGTGCTTAAACTACTCGTTACTAAAAGGACGTTTATAACACTTGTTACATAATATACTATTATTCTTGATCTCCACACGAATGCTCTATGGTTTCAACACAGATTGATGAACCTTACAGATAAGACAGGAGCAATAAGATAAGAAATTTATTTCCAGAAAAAACAGGTTTTGTAGGAAAGTGCACAGTAGTTGTGCTAAAATGATAATTATATCTGAACATTTTACAAAAAAATATATAAATATACAAAAAAAAAACAAGTTCTTAGTATACCTGAAACATTGTCTTTCTAGATGACAACCTAGTTAGGTAGTTAGTAGGCAGGAGCTATAATATTGACTGTTCATTGAAAAGAAAATACATAGTTCAGAGACATCTACGTGAACTAAGTAAACTAAGTTATTCATTTTTTATTCCTAACCGAAACATTTTTCATGGTCCTGTCAAGTTTGTAAATAAAAATCTGTCATGATGAAAACCGAAAATGAAACATTATCACAAAAGAAATTATCAAGTATGAAAACCATCTACCTATACTTGAATGGAAGCAGGAAGATGTTCAGGCAATGCTGTATTAGGTTGACTTAGTGAAAATATGTCTTTAGTGATATAAACCATGTACACATCGGAATTACTATACTTGAAAATTTCAGGTACCTACATGAATAATAGCTTTTCATTTAAAAAACGAAAAACTATGAGTGATACAAACAAATTGATGTGGAAGAATCACATTAGGAGTCATTATGTGAGTAATGTTCAGAAGAAATGTACCAGAAGGATGATGATGTTCTTGAACAGAATGGAAAATTTCCCATCTGAAATGAATATATAGAAGCAATAAGATTAGACTCAATCTGGTTATTTCATCAATGTCTTATGGATATTCTGCTCCAAACACTAAATATCATTATATGTTTCATAGGTAGGAACCTCCTTGAAAGTAGAGCTGCGGTAGTAGGCAGTCCCTGATTTCTTTAATAGTGTCTGCATAATACTGGGTGCATATCCAAGCCCTTCATTATTATCAAGCTACAATATCAGAGACCTGAGGAGAATTTGATACATATTAATTGATGTAAGTTTTTTACCTATATATTAATGTGCATGTATCTAGATTTTTTGCATATCAGCTGATGAATTGTTAGGGGGGGGGGGTTAACCCCCTCCGCTTAAATTACCTAAATTTTGTATGCATAGTAGATACATTAAATCAGTCATGAAATTAATCGATTTTTGAGAAAAGTCAGATGATTTGACTTGCAAAAATATCAAAATATCCAGTTCACGAGATTTTATGAAACAACACACAAGGAAAGGGGCAGTGAATAAAATCAGAAACTTCTTATCCTGTAGGTCGATGAGCTGAATCCAGATATGCAGTGAAAACAACGATTTGTTTGCTGAGAATAGCCAGTCCCCAGCATTCCATTCTAGTCCGCAAATTATACACACCCCAATGTATATTCAATTTATTTATTTTCCAAGGTCCTCGAGTGTATCATTGGCATCTTTCTCACAGCTGTGAATGTAGGTATCCTACCTCAATGATTATTACAAAAGATACAGAGGTGCAACCATGAGAAATGTGGAATATGGAATGCCTAGGACTATCCAACTGTGCCAAATATACGGGGTGTTACATTAGAAAAATAATAATTGACTGCCGTATCTTCTTGATGTCACCCTGTATACAATTTCTGATGATGCCAATGTATTCTACGCATCATTCTATATGGATGAAAATTTGAAATTTTTCAATATCTCTCTTCATAAAGTACTCAGAAAATAAAAACGAAATCGGCATTTTCAATTTCCTCCTGTATCTCTGAAACAAATGAAGATATCAAAGTTCCAATTGTACCATTCGAGGTTTCTCTAAAATCGAAACTGTAACATGTATATCGATTTTTTGATAACTCCTTCAGTTACTGAGCCTATGAAAACGCCCAATTTTGCCCACCATGTACCGGGTGTACCACTAAGAAAAAAAAAAGAAAGAAAGGCTGTATCTCGGATCTCTTCGAGAAAAAATATGAATGATAAAAGTGGCCAAGAGAAATCACTGGAAATTATTTTCAAGTCCCCAGGACAGCCCCTAGAGGGCGTGATTGCATTGGCCAGTTTAATAAACGGGATTTTATGAAAATTTGATATATCAAGAGATATCAAAAACACTTATTTCATGTTCTCGAGTTGATTTCCCATCATTTCGATAAAAAAAAAATGATCTAGCTCTTTAAATGAAAGAGGGAGGGAAGGATGTATAGTACTTTGAAAAAACTCCCATTACTACAGTTTGGTGTAACAGAATTCAACGATCTTGGTCTCATTATGAAGGTTTTTTTTTGTTCTTTCAGATGAATCACGAATCAAGTCGATTTAAATCCTGTGGTGGCCGCTAGATGGCATCGTTCGGAAAATCAGACAATTTTCCATTTTCTTCGAAAATTTCAACCATATATTAATTCTACTCTAATATGAAAGTAGAGCAATCGAGAAAAAAAATGGTGAAAACCGCGAATTGATGCCTCTTGAGGAACCGGTGAAATACTCCAAATAATATTATGAAAATATTCCCCACAGGAATCTAACTTCAATAATCGTCATCAGAAATATCCTGTATCAATGAAATTATGATTTCAATAATTCATTTATTCTGGTTTCACAAACTGCTGTTATATCTCACAATAATGAAGGAGACTCCTAGTAATGACATAGCTAATTGAAATGTAAGTAGTGAGTATAGGCTCAGGAATGAAAAAAGGCAAGTTGGTTTAGAATGAAAGAAACTTCAGAATATAATTGGAGTTCCATTGAAAGTTTTCACTGTGGATTGCTCATTTTTCAAAATGCCGGCAACGAATGAGGAGGCATTTGACATGCTAACAGTTTAAATTTTAATATTATTTCGAGTATTTCTCCGTTTCTTCAAGAGGTATCAACTCGCGGTTTTCACCATTGTTCTTCTCGTTTACTTTACTTCCATATCATAGCAGGAAAAATATATGGTTCCATTTGGAGTTCTCGAAAAAAAATGGCAAATCGACTGATTTTTCAAACGATGCCATCTAGCGGCCACCACGGAATTTAAATCGACTTGATTCGTGATTTATCGGGAAGATCTGAAAAACCCCTTCATAATGAGACCAAGATCGCTTAATTCCGTTACACCAAACTGTAGTAATAAGAGTTTTTCCAGAGTACTATTCATCCTTCCCCCTCTATTTTTTAAAGAGCTAGCGCAATTTTGTTTATTGAAATGATTGGAAATCTACTAGAGAACATGGGAAAAGGTTTTCTGATATGTCTTGATATATCAAATTTTCATAAAAAACCGTTTTTTAAGTTGGCCAATGCAATTATGCCCTCTAGCGGCTGTCCTGGAAACTTGAAAATAATTTCCAGAGATTTTTCTTGGCCACTTTTATCATGTACATTTTTTCCGATACCTATGCGGCAAATAGTTTTCGAGATACAGCCGGCTTCCTTTCTTAGTGGTACACCCGGTAGCGATTTTACTAAATATAAACTATTGCAGCACAAGACACGCCCACCATAATACGTCATATCTCATACTGTGCTCCAACGCAAGAACTGAAGCTTTCTCGTTGTCAATCTCTTGTACGCAGTAAATTCATACACCCAAATGGTCTACTGGTTAGCGCTGTCGACTCTCAGTCTGAAGGTTCATGGTTCGAATCGCTGTGAACTCGAACTTTTTTTTGCAACTTTTTTTTTTCACCAATGTTTTTTTACTTCATTCTGGTTTTCCTTTTTCATAAAATATTTGAAGTCAAATAGGTTAGTGCGTTTAGGATAAACAGTCTCATTTTATTCAATTTTGTTGAAGAACTCAACTTTTGAAATATATTATTAATCAATGTGTTTCTACACTCCATTCGGTTTTCCTTCCTCAAAAATATTGCAATCAGGGATAGGTTAGTTCGTTGAGGATAAATAGTCTCTGAGTTTTGCCTAAGTAAAGTACTTTGAAGATGAGATATAACGTGGTATGTGCTACTTTTTCAATCGATTTATTTATATGAATCAGCTACGTTGTGCTGTCAAAGATTAGATTTTGCAGGATTGTGCTGGGCTCGATTATATTTTGCAATGCCGTAGTAGGGGGCGTGTCTTGTGCTGCAATAGTTTATATTTAGTAAAATCGCCACCCGGTACATACTCTAGGAGATTTTATATATTTTATTTATACATTTATTCGGGTCGATTCTGTTTGCAAATAGCAATATGGTTGTGGAGAAGAATCATCGATTTTTGGCAATAAGATCTGTCAATTTCAATGACATCTGGTCAGCTTTCTTGCTATCTCGGCAACATCAATTTTGTGCTTGCTATCTTATAACAAGGTAGTGGATTCTTTGTTTTTGCACTACAAATTCTGCCAAGTGTAGGAAAATTCAGAAAATAGTGGATTAAAAACATAATATGTGAGTTCACTTGTGTCACTGACTACTAGAAGACCTCTCCTCAAAGTTTCAATTTGTAGAAGACTTATTGAAAAACTTAGAATGGTGATCACAAACAAATTGGATAGGTTCACTACTGTGACCAACTACTTGAAAACCTTTTCTTGAAGTTCCAATTTGTAGAGGGAATATGAGACTACAATTTCGGCATGTCAGAGAAACTAGAAAACCATTTCAGTTGCCTGATGGATAGTTTATCAAGCTATTTTCATCCGGCTTTAAGGTTGTTTTCTCATTTCGGGGACATGATTGATTACTTGCACCAGTCGCACAACGACGACCAGATTCATCGAATACAGAATCTCTCAATTTGAACAATATAATTTTGTAAAGTGTCAGTGCAGGACTGACTAATTTGAGAGGTTAATCATGAACTCTTCTTCTCCATGAAAAAGTGGCAAAATCAATACCTAACACTTAAGAAATGAGTTGAAAACAGTGTTGTCAGCTCAAAAATTCTCAATTTTTCAACAATATTGCTATCACTTGAACTTATAACCAATCTTGCAGTTACTCTGCAAACAGAATACAGAACTTCATAGCAATATTGTTATATATTATGATCATAACAATATTGTTATCTTAGCAATGTTATAACAAGGTCCCAACAGAATCGACCCGATTATGTTTTTTGACATTCCATATGTACCAAGTGTATCAAAAATGGTGAATAATATTATTATTTTCACTAACCGGCGTGACACCGGAACGTATACAGCGGCTCCACGTCCAAGCTGGCGCTCTTCTTCGCCGGCACCGTCTTCTGCAGGTTCCACAGCTTCAGCGTGTGGTCCTCGCTGGCCGTGACCAGCGCCGGCTCGCTCGGATGGAACGCCAGCGCGCGCACGCCATCGAAATGGCTCCTGAGCGTGTACTTGGCGTTCCACGTTTTGCGGAACGCCTCTTTGGTGCCGGCCACGTCGTAGGCGGCGTCCGCGTCGTTGTTGACGGTCAGCTGGGCCAGCTCGCCCAGGCCGAGGCTCGAGTCGGGCGGGTCCTCGTCCGACGGGTGGACGGGGCGTTTCGGAGACGAGGCTGAGATGAACGGAAAATTATTATGAAGGGAGTCCGGAAAGGTCATGTCGTGAATGATAGGACTGATAGAGTGAGCCAAAATTATGTTAGTACCACATACCACAATTCTTCAAAAGGATTTGCCAGAGAAGCAGTTAGAAAACAAAGGACACCGCACGTTTTATAGGGAATATTGGCCTTCTGTCGATTTGGTTGATATGTTATAGTCCAAGACATTCTGAACAAAAAGTCCAAATACCAAACCGTTTTAATGGCTAGTTTTGGCTGATACCCTGATAAATAAAGCTCTTTGAGCCATTATTATATCATTTTTTGATAGGATAAGTTACTACTAGAAGTATTCATCAATATTGTGTTGCTACTAGTCAACAATTACAAAATACAATGGGTTCCAGCTATTATTGTGCAAGATAATAATGATTATTCATTAATTTTATAGGAAAGGATATAGAGAAATGAGAAATCGAGAAATGTTCTATTTCAATTACAAAATACGCTTATTCGAATTCCATGTTCACCCTTTGTATAAGGAGAAGATACACGAAGATATCAACCCGTTCCATATAACAGCAACTGAATGATATTCGAATCAAAAAAATATTTCAAAATTCAATATTTATGTGATGATGTTTTTTCTAGTATTTATCTCCTATTTGTCAAGGTTTGAGATGGAATGTCATTTTGCGTTTTCACTCTTAAAACAATTCGTATATATAGCATCAATAAATCAGCACAAGTAACAAAGTTCACAAACTATTCAATATTTGCGATCCTGCCTCATCCACTTAGGATGATCAATTGATGATTTTCGGAAGAATAGTACGATTTTCGAGAGCTTGATATCTGAAATATATTGACATGCATTTGAAAAAATATACTAGGTATAGGTAATCAGAATTTGTTGACGAAGTTACAAGGAATATTCATCTAAAGATGCAAATGAATACTGATATTACTGATAATATATACTGTATATAGAACAAGTTGATAACATTGTATATCTCCTCTTTATATACTAGGTGAATTTTATCTCCCCCATAATTGCTAGAACACACTGTATAATTCTTGACCAACAGCAACAATATTGAAGAAAACTTCTTGTTGCGACTTGTCCTATCAAAAAATGATAAAATAATAGCTCAAATTGAAAAATTCATCAGGAGAAAAAAAAAACAACATTGAGACTCCAGCGGCCTTTAGCGCCAAAACTAGCCATTAGAGCAGTTTGGTATTCGGACATTTTGTACAGAATGTCTTGGACTATAACATATCAAACATTCAGCCAATTCGACAGGAGGCCAATTTTCCCTATAAAACGTGCGGTGTCCTTTCCAAAAATGTAATCAATCATAAACATAACTTTCAACGGAAAACTCAAAATATTATCAAAGGATTGAACGAAAAAAAAATGCTTTTACATAAAAGCCGATAAAGGTAATAAGGTTATTATTTAGAATAAACAGGATTATTTTCAAAGGGTTGACAATCTCATTGAAGATGGTCCTTATGGAAAACTAACAAGAACTCCATTATCTAAAATGTCCAGTCAAGTCAAATCAACTTGGAATAGATGCCCAAAGTAATAAGACTTCACATAACAAATATAAATTACCGATTGTATCCGCAATTGGGTCCTACTCACAATATTTCAAAGTGGTTGGTTGAAGTTTTCAAAACGTTAAATAATCCTTATAACAATCATTATGTGTCAAATTCGCTTGAATTTATCAAAAGGTCAAAGGGTTGAATCTGACCAAAGGTGAAATCCTTATATCATTGGATGTTTCATCACTTTTTCCAAGTGTACCCATACCAACAACTTTGGAATATTTCAAGGAATTACTCGAATATAACAACCTAGATCCAGATAATATTAAAGAATTTGTTGATCTCACTAACCTTTGCATGAGCCAAAATATTTCTTAAAATAAACAAGATTTTTTGAACAACATGAAGGTACAGCTATGGGAAATTGTTCATCACCTTTCCTGGCTGAACTGATCATGAATCGATTTGAAGCGAACGCAAAAGAAAAATTCGACTATTTCCCTAGGGTTTGGATTAGATATGTCGATGATATTTTTGCTATTTTTGATACAAAAACCACAGATATAGATAACTTTATTTCAAAATTGAATAACTGTTTCCCCTCTATCAAATTCACAACATTTAATTCCATTCCCTCTGAGCAAAGAAAGATTCAATGCTGAAATAAATATTGTTTATAAAGTGGCTGGCGACAATGGCTATGATATCATAATAGTAGATAAATTAATACGTAGACATAAATTTAAGTCAACACTTCGAAATTCTACGACTCTTCAAGTGGATAAAAAGATCTCTAGAAGAATCCCAATCCCGTTCAATCCCAAGTATACGAAGGGACTTGATAAGGTTTTCAAATACTTAGGTTTTGAAAGCGTTTATCAGTCTGGGTCAAAATTAGGCAATTTATTAGGCAATCCGAAAGATAAAGTGGACACACTTGAAAAGTCGGGAATATACGAAATAATTTGTGATAAAACATATATAGGCCAAACCAGGCGACCCATAAAAACAAGGTTCAAAGAAAACATAGCACATTTGAAATATGGCAGGTTAGATAAATCAAATGTGATTTTCTCTAGATCGGTACAAGATATCGATTGAAATGAAGTATACCATTTTTGTAGAAAAAAGATGAAGGGATCAAACGGTGAGAGCAAAATGTCAAATCTGCTACTTCTGTCAAAAATGATTTCATTAAACGGAAAAAAATCGTCCCATCTGTATAAAACATAATCACTGAAAACCCGTTTACGCAATGACGGCTAAATGGACTGTCTGACGGGTTATACATGACTGTTCATTCAGCGAAAATCGCCAAATCGCCCTGTAATGAAATTTTGAAGGGACGGCAAGTGGCGTCATCTATTTCCTGTGTCAAATGAGCTATTCAACATAACCTGCATTCATGATCCTGCATTATTTGTTGACAAATTTTCTTATTGTCAGCCTGACACTCATTGTCACTCGAGATTGGAGAGCTTTGTTCGAGATACCAAGTTAAACTGTGAAAAGGCCAACAAAATGAAGTGATTAGGAGTGTTCATGCCAAATAACGCTATTATATGCATAAATAATAATGCCATTCAAGTGGAAATCATCTTCGTCAATTCGTGAATAGGTAAGGACATGTTCAATTATTTCATTGATTGAATTTTTAACTGCCTAATAAGAGCCATGGTAGCCCTAATAACCAGATACTGCTGTATTCTCAAAGTGAAATGTACTGCAACATTTAATATTGTTTCACAAAATCTGTGATCTCAAGTGATATTTCTTAATTTGTATTTTCAGGAAGATACTGAATTTTCTCAACACAATGTTGAAGCAGCTCTTCATGAGGTTTGATTGAATGATGACTGGAGACATTCAATTCTGATGATGCTATCTATGCATAACCAGAATATTTACTATATATAAGGTGAGCTTTGTGAACAGTTGTTTAATTAGGTGAGGGTGCAGAAAAATAATCAGGCATTTTAACTACAATATCAGATATCTCCATGAATAGCAAATTAAATATCAATTTATCATTTCATACTTATATATTTCATATCAGATATACAGATAAATTGTATTGCAAAATTGATAGAACTATGTCATCTTCAAAATCATTAAATGCAACATTTCTTTATAGGTTCTGGGGATGGCAACAGGATGAATATAAAACGGCTTGGATATGGGATCTTGACTTTGGAGGATGAAGTTAGGTTACCTGGAGATCCTTTGGACACTGGAAATAAAAGAGGAAGATGATATATTATATTGTGTATCCTACAATTTCTATTATCTGTTCAGAAATCAGCAGTGAAGAAGCATGTTTTAAGTTCAAATATAAGCTCATCATCAGCTAATTTGATGGAAAAGGAAATTGTTTATTATGGTGACTGTCTATGGAATAAAATTATTATATTACTTGAATAAATGCTTTCTATACATATCATCTATATCTATCTATCAATCCATATTTTCAACCATTTTCAAAACTTTGTGGAAATAGAAAATAGTTATATGCATTCAAAAGTTGAGTTTGCACTCTTTTCATCTTCTTAGATCTACTTGGGGAAACTATAGTTAGTGGGCTAGTATCAGTGACAACATTTTACCTTATTTCACATACCATCTCATACTTCTATCAAGAAAACAAGAAAGCTATATAGGATCTCATTGATAGATGGGCATACATAATACATAAACTTAGGCCAAATAATCAATTTAAATTTTTTGTGACAAAATCATCACAGCAGTGAAAAACATTTTTGAAAATCTCTGATAGTATCATTATTCTGTGATATTTGCCAGGAAGCAGGAACACACAAAATACCTCAAATTGTAGTTATGGCACTCGAAAAAACTCCAGATGTTGGCCTAGACTGATGATTCTCTGGGATTCAAAGAGCATACCTTAAATTCCATTCCTCTCCCATTCTTGGTGTTGCTTTTTGGGATGCCCATCCTGTAGGTATATAGTAATCTAAGTTTGAACACATGAAACAGTTTTCAACAATACTACACCTACCCTACCTAGGTAAGCAACAACAATGCAGACTAAAACATACCTTGAAAATAATTATGGTAAGCGATCCTTTCTGATAAGTCGCCATATGTAGTGCTATTGATCATCACTCTATAGTGTTTTCCAAAATCATTGACACAAACTTCAACACCAGAATTAACACTAGTGTTCTAATGGTAGGCTGAAATTGAAAATCATCAGAAAAGTGTACATGAAAAACCATATTCTTACCAATGCCTTCCAAAATAAAATTCGACCATTCTTGCAGTGGAGTTTATCACTGGGTATGAGATTCGAAAAAGCAAACCCGATATTTGATACGATTATTCATACATTTCATTTCATACGCTACAAGTCTGTTGTACATACATGATGAAGACACAACTAGCAAACCTGAATAAATAAACTACCAGAACTAAACACAAAGAAAAATGCTTGATTGAATGAAAATCCGAAAAAGTAAAGGAATTTATCGATATTCAACAGAACACATCAGGGACCTGACAGTGACAAAGTTTTGACACTTGATAATAATAATAATAATCCAATATAACCTAAGTTATTGGAAAACAACCGAATGAGAGCTAAACAAATGACTTCTCCGCAAAGGACGGCAAGTAAACCCCTCTGGTGGAGAATACACTGAACTGAGTGATTGGACAGTCATGTAGTACTCGTCAGACAGTCCATTTAGCCGTCATTGCGTTTACGTATGGAATGGTGCATTAGGAACTGGTGGAGTGTTTCTGCACTCAATATGTATGTTACCTTCTTACTCGCATGTGTTAAACCGTTACCCACATGAACATATAGTCTCGATGGTAACGGTTAAACAGAGATAAATATACACCCAGTGGAGATACACTCCACCAGTTCCTGCCAATGGAATTTGCTATTAGAGAATACGGAAACTTGACAAGCAGTGACAGTAACACATAACCACAAATAAATAGATAATAGATGATGAGAGCGGGAACTGGCAATCAGTCGCGGGCAGATTTGACAGATCGTCGACCATGGAGTAACAACGCTGACAACCTCACTTTATTCATTTGTTTAAAAAGGATCAAAATGTGTTCATGTAAAAACCTATATGGTTTACAAAGTAATCGAGGGCGATGCCAAAGTCGGAAATATCACAGTCTAAGATATGCACTATGGTGAATGTATCATTAATTATCGAATGTTCATGGAATGCATATCTTAACCGAAAAATTTGTATGATTATATCAATTTGTCTCAAGGAAACAAGAAAAAACTAGGTGAACTTGTCAGCATATATGGTAGATAGGTATGCCCATCAAAACACAGAAACCGTTGTGTCATGATATTTGTAGATATGAAATGAGCTGAAAAGATATTGAATTTCTCATCTAAAGTTAGCACAAGTATAACTCAAGCAATAGCTATAATAGCATTGCTATAAAAGATTGATAAAACAACTATTTGAGTCAACTGGACAGTAACTGACCATTTTGAGTTGCAATCTCATTTTCTGTACAGAATACTCTACAATCAAATGCACAGTATCATATGGGTTTGAGAGAAGTATGAAAATAAAACAATTCAGATGTTGAAATCATTTTTGACTTTTGCCTACTATGTTTAAATTTCCAAGCAGTGGAAACATAATCAACGTAGACGTCTATTATTTCTTATTTCTTTAAATGAGATTATCTCCAAAGCTGTTGAGTTTTGGGGTGGGTGAAAGACAAGTCTACTACAAGTCATCATCAGGAGTGATTTCAGTTGTGACTTCCTCCTGCCAAAAATGTTGGAAAAACGATGATGATTTTCTTGGGAAACTTGTATTGGCTAATAATGGGTATATTTTAACATGTTCTTTACTATTTGTGTTGATATTCTAAATACAAAAATAGTATGACAACAAGTACACATTACTGTCTTGACCAAATTTAAATTCAGGAAAGTAGACCTACCCTTATTCCAGTCGGCTTGTTCGCTCTTAATATCCTGTTTCTTCTCTGCTTCGGACAACCGATTCAGCTCATTGAAAACCTCTAAAGCTATCGCATCCACGTCATCACCTAAACCTAAATCATCAGTATGAGTTTAAAACAAACCGAGATACAAACGAAAATAATCAAGTGAAATTATAGTCTGGTGTCACACCTGGCAAAGTGGTGACGTCACATCAGCTTTTTTAAAGAAGTTTACCTGGAAATTTAAATAACTTTGTTGCCTTATATTACTTTTGAATTTACCATAAACAAAATCAATTCATACATTCATTATTTCATACCATTCTGTAAAAAAAAGAAAAATCAAAACAATGCTTGATAGTGAAAAAAATTTTATGTCTCCAAATGAGGTACAATATCGCTTACCTCCAATTAAAATAAATTGGAAGTGATCACTACTTTCACAGAATACATACTATTTCAGAAAATTTAGGTGTACAGGATGTTTGACTAAATTTCAATTTTGATTAAATCCTTTGGTTCTCTTTTGATTACTAGATGAAGTGTATGAAAATTATATGTTATTGAAATCAGAAAAAAATTCTTTCAAGATATACAATGACATAATATAGGATGAGATTTTTTTTTTAAGTTTCCAATATTTTGATTAGTTTTCCAGATGAAAGCCTACCCTACCCTGTACATCAATCGATGTGCACCTGGAAAAATTTTTCAGAGTTTTTTAAAACACATTTTCTTTGTTGCCTAGAAACGAATCAACATGTGAGCAGTGTGAAATAGAGAATAGACCTTTAAATATATTTGTCAAAGTTGCCAAGTGTACAGTGAGAATCAAAAATCCGTCGCCTCCCCCCCCCTCGTTATTACTTTATTTTATTACTATATTATATATATTATACTAGCTGGCCGGCCCGGATTCACACGGTTGGTGTACCCATTTAAAAAAATTAGACATTTGTTGCTGTCATTCTGAGCTATGCACGTATTTATAGTGCATATTTTTTTGTTATTTTTTCAAATGCCTTGTGCTATATACTTACATCTACTTAATTCTCTCAGTATATTCACTAGAAAATATACTTCCACTTGAATATTCATTAACACACTATTATCATATTATTTTCTACTTCTTTTTATTTTGGCTATCTATAGAAGCCACATTTTATGTATTTATAAACATGTTACCCTTTGTAGACAAAATGTACTTCATTTTGGACAGTGAAGATCTATTCTATTCTATTTTATTTTCAACTCGTTAGGTAAGAAGTCATATAAAATTATTCCATTATGGAATATCGATTGTTTACCAAAATTTGACTTAATAATTATTTGCTATCAATAAATTAAATTGAAGTTGTGACGTACGCGCAACGAAATAATATACAGACTGTACCTTTCTTGCCCCCGATCGTGACGTCATCGTCGATATCGTCGGCCTGCTCGATATCGACGTCATCGCTCATGTCCTCGTCGTCGTCCATGTCGACGTCGGCGTTGGACAGGAACTCCAAGTTGGCCATGACGGCCGCCTCCGTGTCCAGCATCATCGCCTCCGCCAAAGAGCTCGGCTGCGCCTTCTTCGCCGGCGTCCTCCTACCTGGGACACCAAGCAAACCATGGTCTTTAAGAATAATAATAATAATGATAATAATAAATTTTATTCAATAAGTATCAACACAACATTAGGTACATGATGTAGTATGATGCGTGATTGTTATACATCTAGTAATACTCATTTAAAAAGACCACATTCAATGTCATAAAGCAACCAATGATGATACAATCAAAGATTGAAATATGACCTTGTTCTTCCACATGACCTTGAAAAATCCTAAAAGCTAAGATCCAATAAACTAAAATAACCTAGGTTTCTATTATGTGAAGCACTTATATATAGTGTGACCCACTTCTAATAAAATCACCCCTGTATCTTACGTAATCGTTGGGTAAGGATCCTGAAATTTTCTGGAGCGAGAAATATACCAAAAATACACTCTATGACCAAGTGGGGTCATCTTCAGTGATATAAACTGCTCGCCAACAGCCCTAGAACCACCCCTATTTCCGGAAAATGATATTAGGGGTCAAAATAGGTCGATAATCACTTCAGATTCGGAATCAGGACGCCCAATTCACTAACTATTCATATTTTTCCTAAAAAATTTTAGTTCTGAAAAATTAAATTTTGTCGCACTTTTTACGGAAGCACCCCAGTATCTTACGTAATTGATTTTATCTTTGGACTTGCCCTTCCTCCGGCAAATTCCAGAACCCTACCTCGATAAATACGTGATACGGTGGTGCTTCCATGAGAAGTTAGACAAAATTTAATTTTTCTGACCTGAAAATTATCTAGGAAAACTATGAATAGTTAGTGAACCTCTCAACCTATTTTGACTTTGGTATATCTCTTGCTCCAGCAAACACAACCTCACTTTTCTTATTTATTTACAAATTATTGAAATATTTTGAAACAATTATTTTGCCATGCGAATCGTGTTTTTCGGCTATTCATTAATTCATGCATGCCATCACATTGTGCTGTTGTACAATGCACAGCGAGTGACGAAGGAATTCGATTTTTCAGGTAGGTACATTCTGATCTAAAAGTACTATAGTCACTCACATATAGTTTTCATTTTGAAATTTTGTCATTTCTCATTGGAATTCCTTTTGCAATAAGAGCTAATAGAAATACTCGTGAGGTTCCTTAGAGAAGGCAAGAAGATTGATGGATTCATGCAATCAAACGGAAGGACTGGTCTGATATGCTGACAAAATATGATCGTGTATGTTGTAGACATTTTCACTCTATTAGCAGTATTAGATTCTATTGCAGAAGTGGCAGAAGGAATTCTAATGAGAAATGTCACAAAACTATGTGAGATCACTATTTACCTGAAAAACCATATTCCATCATCTCTCACTGCATTTTTTCGCATTGTACAGCACAATGTGATAGCATATTTGAATCAACGAATAGCCCAAATAACATGATTCCTATGCCAAAATATAGTGAAAAACTATTGTCAGTTAGTTTATAACATCAGATGAAAAACAGTATAAAACTTGATTTATTCAGAATCTGTTCAGAATAAAAATGCACATTGAAAATAAAAACAAAATAAATATAGGTAAATTTTCCTATACATTCGGTACTATTAGGTTATAAACATATCAATCACAACATATATTTCTCGATCGTATTTGAGGGATGTATTTGATATAATTTGACACATTGATAAACCTGTCAAACCATGTATCAACTCATATTTCTAGTTCCACATCATACAGATCTGCGACTTTATTGCTAAGTCACATTGGTTCTTATGAGTTTCAATACTGATTTGAGCAAAATATCGAATATACAAAATATTATTCAGTTGCAGAAGTGGCGCAAATGATGAAAACAAACGCTGTCATCGGTCATTCTCTTCTCTGCTTATCTCTTCATCTCGAATCAAGGTTTTTCTACCAACCTTGGTCTGGAATGTTTCAATGTGAAATATTCATTTCCGTCGTCACCAATTCATATGACCAAAATATCTCCATATAAACCGCTATGACTATGTTGAAAACTCTAGAATTCCGACACGTAGCAAATCAGGTTGAAATGTCGGATGCATCTACCCAAAAAAACTCTAGATTTAGCGACAAAACTGCTAAGATTGCAACCCTGGACTGGTCGGTCATCGTGCACGCGACCTGTAGAGTACGGACACCCGACAAGTAGTGATAGTAAGACATAACCAAAAATGATTTTGAAGCAGAACATGTTTCGCCAAACAAGGACAAGAATATGTTTTTAGCTTATAGCGTATACCATTGTGAAAACTCGTGCGCACTCAGTGCATAATATAATGCGTCCGACCCATTGGTACAAGCGTGACCACTTTAGCTTGGCCTCTGAGAATTGGATGCGCAGTAGACCAGTAGGCGGAATGGGGCGAGTGCTCATTATTGTCGAGGAACTGGTTTAGTGAACATAGGTTAGATCAGTACAGTACGATTGTACTTTTCAATGGACCTTTGCCGCACACTTAACATCTCTGTTTATCGTTTGAACATCTCAAGGGCCAAGCTAGAATGGTCAAACTGTTAAACCAGTTGTGGTTTCTGTGTCCCATTGAAAAACTGGTGCGCGTATTGGCTCTAGGAGGTCGTACGAGCCGAGTGCAATATGCTATAGTCAAATTGACAAAATGACCGATTCATTAATGAATACTTTCGAAAACCCCATTAGAAACTCAATTTATTCACTCAAGCATTGTAATTTAGAAAATAGAAATGGACAGAAGTTCAGCTGTGGCCGAACTCTTATCTACTAATACCATCCAGTGACTCTATGTATAGCAAGATAGAGTACACAGGGTGGAACAGACGAAACAGAAGACCTATCAGAAATTCAGAACACCCTACACATAACTCGATCATCATGGCCTACCTTGCGTTTCACTAGCCCTTTTGTTCGACTCGTTTCCGTTCACCGAGCCGCTGTTGTGGTTCTCCTCTTGATCGGCGTTATTGTTGTTCAACCCCAATAAAGATCTGACCCTCGTCGATCTGACATCGATGATTCTGTCGGTGTAGCCTATCTCCTGCGTAGGATTGCAAAGATACCATATTACATTATCATCAAATCATTTTATTCACACTGACAAATCAACAGGCCAAGGTCAAATAAAGGTTAACATTTTCAGATTCACCAGTTGGCATTACTAGATACTATAAACTAATAATCCCAGGCAGCTCGTCAGAGGTGAGCGTATAAATTTGTTTTTCTACTCACATAACTAAAATGGCATTTAGCGTACGGATATGTACCACGCTAGATGATTGATTAATCACGGACTGGTGATCCGTGATTCATTGAAAGTATTAAGCTAACAAAACCGATGATTTTTTTGAAAAAATATGCGAAAATATCGCCAATGCTAGAATTAGAGCCTTAAAATAGCCTGAAATTATGGTATAATTAGTTTCGTGATTGACTTCTTCTTAATGAAGTAGTTCTGCTAGCTTAACATTAAGCTAGTAGAACCCAATTTTTTTTGCATAAATCAAAGAGCAATAAATTCGGCAATAGGTTAATGAATTAGCTTTAAATTATGGATGAGGAGGAAAATCCAAAGTTGTTCTGCTAGCCTAATGGAGGTTTCTACCACTCTACCTGCAAGTACTGCCTGAGCAGCTGCCTGCCCTGCTTCCACGTCGAATTCGACACGGAAATGTATGACTGGTCGGAGTCCAGCTGCGACTCGCCCGACTCGTCGATGAATGGCGGCTTCATGTCACCCTGCTGCAGCTCCGTGCCGTACTTGAGCTTGTGGAACTTGGCGCGCTCCTGCTTGAGCGCGAACTCGAGCATCTTAATGCGGCGCACGAGGTCGTTCTTGAGGTTCTCCTGGCCTTTACGCTCGCCCTGCAGGAAGGCTATGCGGGCCTTCACAAGAAAAGTAGTGGATTCAGAAACTCAGTTTGGATAATCGAGTGAAACTTTCAAATAAAAGGGTGTGATTTAATAATGAGCTTGTGGAATTTGGCGCACTCCTGCTTGAGCGCGAACTCTAGCATCTTGATGCGGCGCACGAGGTAGTTCTTGAGGTTCTCCTGGCCTTTTTGCTCGCGTTGCAGGAAGGCTATGCGGGCCTGCACAAGATAGGTAGTCGATTCAGAAAATCAATCTGGATATTCCAGCAAAACTTTCAAACAATAAGGGTGTGATTGGATAATGAGCTTGTGAATTTGGCGTGCTCCTGCTTGAGCGCGAACTAGAGCAGCTTGATGCGGCGCACAAGGTCGTTCTTGAGGTTCTACTGGCCTTTGAGCTAGCCTTGCAGGAAGGCTATGCTAGGGTCCCTTGATGGAAATTGACGTTAAAGTCATCTTGACAGGGTACGGACAGATCATAGCTGCATTCTTTTTTAATGATCTAGAGACTTTAGTTTTGTCGTGGACTCTAGTTTTGTCTACTGGCATCCCTGACATTGCTGTCACGTCACGTCCATGGGCGCTACAGAAAATCATTCAAAATTTCGATAATAGGTATGTACAGGGTATTCACTTGTTGAGAAAGATCATAATGGGTATCAAGTTTTGTAATTATGATCCAATTCTATTCAAAATTGGTATCTGGAGATTTTCGGGAAAGGAGATAATGATTGTTTCATGAAAATTGTAAAATTCAGCCGTTTCAAAGTTATGAAACAAAATCGATTTAAAAATCGTTACTCCAGAGCCGCCTGGTGTCCAAACTAAAAACAATGTACTGAGGTAAGTTTGCTTGTATAGAATTGTTTTGGTCGGAGGAATATGTGCGTTTCATAACGCTCCTGTGTCCCCTCTCTTAAGGACAACCTTTATATACCTATATCTTAATAAAATTGAACTACCGCTAGTAGGGTAAATTTGATTAGTGCACCGATATGTATAATTTTGGACCATTAGTCCCACAAGGCCCTGGATGAAATGATTTCCGAGTTTTCTAATTTCAAGCTTACCTAAAAATGCGAGATGGTTCGTTCAATAGTTCATAATATTTTGTGTTCGGCTGGCTATAACACAAAACTGCTCGTTTTACTGTGTACGATAAATCAATGAGGAACTTTGTATGTCATCAATTTTATTTCCGTATCTGATATCAATCACAATTACTCAATTGTGTTATTATCTCACAAAATCTTATATCCCATGAAATGTAAAATTTCAAGCAACAGCTAATAGATGAGCACCAGGGGCAAACAATTCTTTAAATATGGTGTACACCCTCAATTTTGAATATTTAAATACTTTCAATTATTTTAAATATCTAATTATTAATTTTACATTCTCTTCAGTACTTTTCCATTGTCTTAATTACCGTCTGAATACTTTAAATCGAGCTTCAAATACTCTAAATACTTCTCAAATCCTTTTCAAGTATTTTAAATTCTTCATAATTATTTCAAATATATCAAAAATGCACGTTGAAATCTATTGCAATTGGTTAGGTCGTTGACTTCGAGAAGAAGCTGGTGATCAGGAGAGTGAAGAAAAGTGAATTTTGACGAAAGACTCATAATCTCCGACCCCGAAATTTCTCAAGTTTGACCTTGATCGATATATCTAGCCCCGCGGGAAGATTATTCAGGTGGTCCAATACTTATATTTTTCATTTTTGAAGGACCGCTGAAGCTCCCCGCCAGGCTACCCAGGAAATATATCCATTCACCTCAACAAGAGTAAGCATATATTATAGAAAAGATAAGGAGTATAAAACTATAAAAAAATCAAAAAATTTGATTAAATAATTTATTTTTGTTATTTTATCACAGATAATGCACCAAAATCAGAAGACAGCGAGCATGGATTCAATAAATGATATGCCATATGTATTTTTGATTAAAAAAAATCCATAATAAGATATTTTTTCCAATGAAACTGACAGTTTTCCAATTTCTTTTCGATTTTTGGGGTGAAAATGTGTGCGATGAAATCAAGGGAGAGCATGATTTCAATCTATGATAAGCCTGGACAAAAAAATTCATAGATTTATATATTTTTTTCCCAATGAAAATGACAGATTTCCGATTTGCTCTTCGAATTTTGGGATGATGGTTGGGTTAAATGAAAAGGTGATATAATAACTATTCAACTACTGCAAGGCGTCCTTATTGATGAAAACACCTGTTGTAAGGAGATATTTTGTTTTTCTTAAATATAATGAATATTTTTCAATACCCATTTATTATTTTAAGTACTCTCAAATAGCTTTTACATAACTCCATTACTGACGAATACAAAATATTTCAAATATGGCGTACACTTTTATGGGAATGTACACTCTGAAATCCTAAGTAATTAAATACCATTTTCAATACATTAAGTAAGCTTCAATATGCTCTCAAGTACTTCAATTACTAGTATTAAGTGTTCAAAATATGCTTTAAATCTCGCTTCAAATGCGTTAATACTCTTTTCAAGTACATAATAATCAAATATGGGTAGTTGTTTTCCCCTGACTACAAGCTGGAGAAATCAAAATTTCACTATTAACTGTTACAGCCGTAGAAAAATTATAGTGTATAACTTGCATGGAATGCTTATTTCCCACTCCTATGATTTCTCTTGACAGTACTTGATTATTATAATTTTTTATGAATGGCAATGAATAAGCAGTATTTTCAAATGATTTTGTCTGTTTTCGAGAAATGAATTTGTCAAATTTATAGAGGTAATCTCGAGAGTGACATTATTTGATAACTCTAGAACCAAATAATTCAGTAGAGACGGAGGTAGAGACTATATTGCAAAAACACACCCTGTATATTATTGGGTAGTATTGGCTACCATCAAAACCAGGGATAGCCTTCCTCCTAGCCTTTATAGGCTATGTGAAATTTTATTGTTCCTAGTGGACTGACAAGTTCTGAGAGGATGTAGAAATACAATTGAATGCTCATTTTTTATTCATTCTACTAATCAATGAATTAATTGAATATTATTATTGGAGAATAAAATTATTAGAAAAGTAGGTTACTTTTATACTCGGTGAAAACACACTTTCACTTTCTAATACAGTGAGTATGGAAAAAAGTAGACATTAATCAAATAAAATTCTAATATCTAGATTCTCTTGTTGGAAGCTTCTTGGAATTCTCAATTTGATGTATTCAAGCAGGAAGTAAAGTAGAAATAATAGGTTGATTGTTTCAATATTATCATTAGATGATGTCTATCAACAATATCTTAATTCATAATATTTATATAAATACCTGTACCACTATAAATATACATGCATATTTCTTTTCTCTTCGGAAATTACCTGGTTATTTTGATGTATTTATTCATACAACAATATTTAATACTATACCTACACCAATATTACCTACATAGATATAATATGTATAATAATTATAGGATATATACATACCTAGTTGATATTAAATATATAGTTTTAGTTTTACTCATGCTTGCTGCAAAAATAAAAAATAGAAAATAAACAAATTCAAATAAATGGAAAATTCAACTCATGCTCAACCTTCATAGGTCCTAATGAGTTTCTGTTTAAGTTTATTTGCTTTCTTTAGTTCACCATAAAATATAAGATGTAATGCATAAATGAATGAAATTTTTAGAACTCTGAATAAACCTCCAAAATAAACTTATTATTATTAAGTTGAGAGTGGTACAATTTTGCAATTACTTGTCTAAGAATGTTTCACTATCAATCCAAATAAAACTTGAAATGAAATTACTTGAGCTGAATATCTGGTTCTGAACAAATATTGATTGTTCACGAAATTGTGTATTGCTGTACAGCAACACAATTGAGTTAACAATGAAAGACAGAAAGAAGATATTAAGAACAGAGTGTTATTTTGCTAGACTATTTCACATTCAGGAAATATAAAAAGCATTTATTATAAATGAGTGATTCATGGTTACATCCAGACTTTGATTTGTTATCCATGGTATCTATATATCTATCTATCTCTGGCTTGTGATTGTGAAATAGCCAATGGAGTTGAGATAAATCAAAGTATCAATTCACCTTTATTTTTCAATGTTTTGATAAAATGTTAAAATATTTTTTTTTATCTTTGAAAGTACCTATGTACCTCGTCAGATCACTGTCAAAAACTCTCACTTTTACTTTTTTTCGAAGCAGCAGGGAAAGTGGCTTTTCTCTGAAACTCAAGAAAGGAAGTGTACTTTCTCTGCCTAGGCAGGAAAAGTTTGTTGCTGTGCAACATTCCAAGTAATTGAAAGAAATTGGTAATCAAAAGTGACACTGACATTGGGTAAACACAAAATTGGTTTTATAACATTTGTAGAAAAAAATATGTTTCACACAGCTGCAAATGTATATTGATTGCCTTGGCTGAATTCCTAGCCTTATTGTGCTTGGATATGAACTATCAGCTGTTGCAGTCAATCTACTACTTTCCTGTCCAGTAAATCAAATAACTATTTTCTATGGCTTTTACTGGATAAAAAGAATGCTGTTGCCTAGTGATGTTAATTTTTTTTAGTTTACAGCATTATGAAGTGTTGATGTTATTAAATACAAACATAATGAAGATTGCTCAAGGGGTTCATTCATGAATAACAAGACATCACTAAATTTGATTCAACATGGAGTGAATAATAGGTATTTACAAGATTCCCATCATGATCCCCAACTTCAAATCAGTTACACTACTTATTTGTTGGAGTTTTGATTTGTTGTAACATATCTAGTAATTGAATCCACTAACACTTGAATTACCTCAGAATCATGTTTTTGAAATCTCCACCAAAAGGATAATTCTAGGTAGGAAGGAAATTCCTATTAACAGATCCTAAGTACATGGTACAAACATCTATGTAGGTACAAACATATTATAAAAAAAAACACAAAAAACCCACATAATAAATTTGTTACTGATCAATTTTTATTACTATAGTCCTCCTAATTACCTACCAACTCCTAATACAACTTCATACACAATAATAGAGAACTGTCAATGAGTAAACTTTTGAATTATTTTCTTGAGGTTTGATATCCCTCTATAAACAACAATATAATTTATGTTTGATTAATGTTTTACAAAATATATAAAATGTTTGGTGAATATTTATAGTCATGAAATAATTCCAAATCAAAATACGAACTTACTTGTAATTCGGCCCTATCCACTTCCCATTGTGATCTTTCTAATTCGAACCTAGCCCATTCATGTTGAATAAAATGTAAGATTCCCGGTATAGAATAATGAGATTTGGGGTTCACTTCTTCACTTTGTTTATTGTTAGCATTGGAGCCGCTTGGTGGCCCCATTTGTCCACCGTTTTGGATATTGAGCGAGTTGTCTTCCATTGTGTCGGTTTCAAAAGTAGAAAATTTCATATGTCCACCATTGCTCCTCAAAACGCCATTTTAAATTCAATCAGTTCAAATTCTTTCGTCCTTCCACTTTTTATTAATTATCACAGATGACATTTACCAAGCAATGAAAATTTCTAATATCACTCAGATTTCGTAAAAATTAATGTTTTTGTCTAACGATTAATAAAAACTTTGATTCCTAAAGAAAATTATTACACTCCTCAACTTTCAACGAAATTGAACATCTGGTAAATTTTTCATCCTTGTCCATATCAGAGATAATAGATAAAGCCGTCTCTGTCAATCTCATCGCCGTCAAATTCATTGTAGCCAATGTGATGATCAAACACTTCCCTTCAATACACGTAGAATTCCCCTAAATTTTCATGAAATTACCCGCCGATTTGAATATTGAAATAATTTAGATTTGGAACAATTCTGCCTGAGTATGGGGAATATTGACGAATTCATGCAGTTTAGTTTAATACATTCATTCATTCAACACACCTTTTTTTGAAGAGTACCTAAATATGCAAATTTTAGGTCTTACTCATGTCTTCACTCTTCTTTATAAATGCGTATTCCAGTCCAGAGCAAATTTCAAAATTCTATGTATCTATGTGCAGATTATCCTCATTATACATCGTGGCTCATTACCATTATGAGGAACTTTTCATCAAGTAATCATTTATTCATTTCTCAAACAATTTTGAAACCTATTTCAAATCAACATTGGTAGCTATGAATAAATCAATATTTTCTCCGTTTTTCTCCATTTCACGAAATTCTACTCTTCAAAGTGGAGAATAGATGAGAATGAAATATATAAAATGTTGATGGTTTATTTATCAGAATACATATGTAGTTTCTATATTTGTATCTTAATGGAAAGGTTTATTTACATCATTTTCACTTGAATCTTAAATACCTATAATCTTTATTTAAATGCCCTCAACTTATTTTTAGACAATAATATTAAATTTAAAATAAATTACAAGAATTCTTCACACCAATCATTTAAACACTGCCAGCAGTCGGTTGATTGTTTTGAATTTGCACAGCATGTATCCTTCATCCAGTCTTTGAAAAGCTCTTGGTTTTTCTTCAATACCAGGAACTGACCCAGTACTACATATGCCTGGAATACAAAATATCATAGAGTAATTAAGTCATCAAAATTCAGAGAAATATAAATGAGAATATGTTGAAAGTTGAAGAGGCAACAAATGAAGAACTCTATAGTCTGTAGGACCCATACGTCCATGGTAGGACCATATAACAGAGCTGTTAAACTATTTCAAGGTTCAGCCAGGACACAACCTCCTCATCAAACTGTTTGAAGTGTTTTAGAAAACGAGAAGGGTCTCAGTTCGATGACTATGTATTTGGCCGTTTTTTCCTATAAAGTAATCTTATTGATCTCACCTTATCGAATCCAGCAAGTACTAACCGCTCACCTAGGACGCCACCTACCCCTGCTAAGTCGGTGACAGGTTTCTCCCCCATAGGCTCAGCTACAAAGTTGCGATGCTTTTGTGATGTGCTGGACATTTTATTTACAAAAGAATTATCTCTTTGATTCCGTTAATAGCCTTTAATTGTCCGTCAGTTTCGGATTTTCAAATTTGGCTATTATTTATTGTAGATTTTAGTTTTGACTCTTTCTTTACTGACAGTGACACACACACTTGACACCAGTCAGTAGTGACACTCTCATTCGACACCACACTACCACAGCAATGTCAAAATCACATGTCACTGTCAGAAGCAAAAAAACGAGCGTCTCGGACCAGTCTTGACCGAAAGCTCCACCTCTGGCTACTCGGCTACTGTCGAAAGCCAGCAAATACCAATTAAAAGCGAATAAATAATCTACAACCTATATTCTTTGAATCTACTATCTAGATCGCTAGCGCCACTCATGCGCATTTAGGAGCCATCAGGAATCTTTCACGTATCTTAATTGTTGTGTTCTTCAAGTGTTCCCTTTATAGTTTGATATGCTCATACTATAAGATGTGTGAATGTTCCTTCGCATGGAAATTTGTGCAGAGGCGACGTCAGAATTATCACAGTGTAGAAAAATAATATGACCCCGGAGTTTATTTGATCCCTATATTTTTTCTGTGGGTGCCATACAATAGTATTCGTCGAAATTTGTAAATAAATATTCAAGTTTAACTTCAACCGCCTTTAATAACTATGGAGCTGGTAAACCCTTGAGCAGGTAGGGGAAATGTACCCAAACGGAAATGACGTCACGGTTAAACCAGGGTAAAACCACAGTAAAATATGGGATTATCCAAGGATTATAAAATCTAGATACTCTCCTTAAGGATTATCAGCTTTAACCATGACGGGTAATGTGAATGAAATGTCCCTCCATGGTCCAACCGGTCCAACCATTAACCAACCTCCCGAACGTTATTTTGCAACATAACCTCAAGATTTTGACATTTTGATTTTATCCATGATTTCCATTTCATCAAATCATAATAAGAAGCACATTCATAATAATAATTGTCGCCGATTCTCGGCTTCTGACCTGTTTGGTGATTAGTTATTAGTTGTAGCTTGTAGCCTTGTTGTAGCACCCGTAATGACTATAACAAAAGAGTATTTCGTTGACCTCCAAGAAAAATACAATAAAGTAATAAAACTAATCAATGAAGACAGCAAATTAGACCCTGAGAATGAACCTTATCTTTCGAAATATTCTGCAAGACAAATTCTTGTCGGCATGAAATCCAGTATAGAACATTTGAAGAGGAACCAAACCCCAGAGAGTCCTGACTATTTGAAACTGAATGGTAATTGCATATTATCAACTTTGCTTCAATGAAATTAAAGGAATGTTGTTACATCCATGTCTCTGAAATAGTGGAAACATTCATAAATACATTCCTCATTTCTGGATGTCTTCCAGGATGTCTTGACAGTCCTTTAAAAATTTCTTGGTCTTCATTATTTCCTAATTTCCTATTCTTTTGCTGCATGTTCATTTTCATCAGGAATTCATTGAATATCTATCGAACGCTATCAAAATTATCAAGTTATATTCAATCAGAAGAAAGATCCAGTACAAAAGATGGATCTTAATATTGAAGCATTTCCAAACCATCTCACATGCACATTGTGCTTTTTACCACATATGTTCATGTTCTGTTTTTAACTTGATGATATTTCTAGCTATGCTAGGTTCAGTATATTTATATCTGGGAATGGTATCATTGGACACAGAAGAAATAACAAATGGTAAAAAGAACTTTGAGAAATGTAGAGAAGTGATAGAAAATTACTACATGAAACCAGAAGTGATCCTGATAGCAGTTAATATGTTCAATCAGTTTGGTATAATGTGCTCACAAAGTGAACCTGAGGAATCTAAACTCTATTTGGAGAAAGCAGATGCATTATATAATGAATTCAAGCTGTCATCAGAAGAACCTATAGACATAAATGACTTATTTGAAGCAAATTTAGAAATTTATAACACTGAAATGGCTCAAAAGAATTTTGAAAAAATTCATACTTTCACTTTATATTACCTGGCTCAGGTGTATGGATTATTGAAAGATGCTTTAAAAAGTTCAGTTTATTGTCACATAACATTGCAGAGACAGCTGGAAGTAGATGAATATGATCCTATAGATTGGGCCCTGAATTCTGCTACTCTGTCTCAATTTTTTATGGAAAAAAATGGATTTAAACAAGCAAGGCATCATCTTGCAGCTAGCTCATGCATTCTTGAAAAATATGAAAAGAAGCTGAATGAAACAACTGAAACAACTGAGACTCAAGAAGCCTTGAAAGAAACATTCAAACATAGGAGTGCTGATGTAGCAAGATGTTGGTCAAAATATGGTATCCTTCTACTCTCAAAATCAAAGGAAAGACTTCTCAGTCATACTGAAGACATTGAAGAAAAGTGTTCAATATCATCTGATCTATCTAAACTTGAATTGACATCAGATTCCACTGTATCTGTGGATGACTTACAAAATCTAGAATTTACAGGAATTGATCTATCATCTCATGAAAATCAAATAACAGATCAGTTTGTCCTTACTTTGGAGGATGCTAGAAAAGTATTCTTGAACTCCCAAAAGTGGTCATTGAGTGCTCAAGAATACTACAGATTAGATGTGTTAGCCTCAGATTATATTGAAATAGTCTTGGATCAAACACAGCTTTATTTGAATCTCTTATTTTTTGAGGATAGTCCAGAAAATCAGTCAAAGTTACACAAAAGACGTGTTGATCTTCTTGAAAATGTACTAGCCAAAGTCAATAGTAAATATTATCTACAGTATTGTCGTCAAGCTTGGTTCGAATTAGCACGTACATATGCTGACATACTGGACATAAAAACTGATAAATTGAAAGAAACTAAAAGTCGCCCTTCACCACTTGCATTAACTAAAATCAATAACCTAGTTGAAAAAGGAATCCTACACTATTCCAATTTTATAAATTCTTTTAGAGATAACACTACTTGTTCTTTGCCTGATAAGGTACCAGCTGACATTGAAAAACCATTCTTGCAAGCTTACTTTCATGTTGCTGCCCTACATGGGCGCTATGTAACCTTAGATAAACAAGTACAACTCAAAAACACAGAAGCATGTTTGGAAAATTATAAATTTGTTTGTGATTATTGTGACAAGCATCCTAAAGCTAAAGAATTAGTATCTATGGAATATGGAATTTGTGAAGAAATGACACTTTTATTGCCTATCAAGATTATGAAGCTTAAAAATGAAATCTAATGATCAGACTTTGATAAGACCAACAGAATTACCTACATAGAAATCCCTCCCTGGTTTTATATGATTAACTTAACCAGAGATTATACAATCTGACTTAACTATACAGCATAATAATTGTATTACCTCACGCATAGGCCCCGCCCCTCTACCATGTTACAAAGAGATCACTGGGCAGGGCATCATTGAGTTGTTTTTCAAGTTAGAATTTGAAAATTCGAAACGGTGGTATAGTTCCTTAAACACCCCGATACCAATTTCGAAAAGATTCTGATCATAATTGAAACACTCGTTCGCCATACTGGATCCGCCATCTTGAATTTCAAAATTTTGACGAAATAATCATAATTTTCCACTCCGAAAACCCCTAGATATACCAATTTCGAATAGAATCTAACCATAATTACAAATCTCGTCCGCCATATTAGATCCGCCATTTTGAATTTTCTATTTTTGACTAATAAATCATAATCTCCTACTCCGAAAACCCCCAGACACCAATTTTGAATAGAATCGGTCCATATAATTATAGAACTCGTTCGCCATACTGGATCCACCATTTTGAATTTCCTAATTTTGACGAATAAATCATAATCTCCGACCTCGAAAATTCCCAGATACCAATTTCGAATAAAATCGGACCATAATTAAAGAACTCATCCGCCATATTGGATTTGCCATTTTGAATTTCCTATTTTTGACGAATAAATCATAATCTACGACCCCGAAAATCCCCAATACCAATTTAGAATAAAATCGGATTACAAAACTCGTCCGCCATATTGGATCCGCCATCCCGAATATTTGATTTAAATAATATATATTACGACCGATGCTCATATACCTACCGAATAATGGGCTTAAGATAGAAGAATATATTTGTATACATTTTATAGCAAAAGAGTACTTTTTCTTCATTCATACTATTGCCAGAACTGTAGAGGGTTTCTTATAAAAAGATTACAAGATTGAAATAATAATTTTGCAAAATTTTTTCTTCTCATACAGAGAGTGAGTGCAAGCTGAATAAACGCTAGGGAAGATCATGACTAGACTCTATGGCACTCAAACTGATGTAATAACTATATGAAAGGTTGATTATTTGATCGATGATAAATCCATAAAAGGCAGATTGACACAAAGTCATTCCAAGTTAAACATTCCATCAAAATTATTAGCTAAGGTCAAAATAATGGTTGCTAGTGGAGCTCTGCAACCTGAAATGGACAATGATATCTTGAACGGTACTGTCAATCGGGTTCGACGGAATCAATGGGTTTCAAGGAACTATATCACCTAACTTGAAAAACAACTAATGACGCCCTGTATGTCGTTGTTACCTTGCCCGGTATATCTGATCATCTAATATTCCCGGTATATCTCATCTATTAATCATGCTATTCTTACCAAATTTGGACTGGTACAAATATAACGAGACTATAGGTACCATCAATATGATCAGTATTTCAGAAACAGAAATAAAAAGGGGTCGATTCTTTGTGAAAAATTTTTCAACAGGAAAACTAACCTCATAATATTGTTCTCCATAGTTCGAACCCAAATCTGCAAATTTTCATATTAATTTCTATGAAGGGTTTTGAAAAAAACAGGCACATCTGAATATAGCATTTTTGCAGACCTAAAGAATTATTTACTCGGAAACGGTAAGTTCAAGAAAAAAATATATAACCATAATTTTCTGCCTACCAGAGCTATCGAACGTTCTAAAATTTGCAATTAATTGAAATTCATTATTTTTCCAAAGCAGAAAATTTAAATATAATGCCTATCCTGGTAATTCAGAATGAGGCGAATTTTTGCATAATATGGACATTAAAAATTCACAGCACTGTCCATAATGATGTTTGTCTGTGAAAAATTGATCATATTGATGATTATTCATACCAGTGAAACACCCTGTATTTATATGTTGGTTCCGTTCCAAATATTTCAGATAGTCGAATGTACATCGGTACCTATACATTATTTTGTTTTTTTTGTCAGAATACAAAAATGTAGGTAGTTATAAATAACATCTCAAATATTGTTTTGTTTTTTGTTGGTACCTATGGAATATGAAATATATGCTTCAAAATATGTAGATACCTATAGTTGAAAATCTTAACTTTCAATTTGAACCTTATCTGCCCTCCAATAAGGTTTGTTAATCTGTGAAACAAGTTTGCCTGCGACACATTTCATTAATTATCACCTACCCATTGTCTTACCACTTTATAACCATCGATTTTTTTGTCTCGCTTTTTTCTTGAGAAATAAAATATGAAAATCAAACATTTCAGCCTCACTTTTTATGATGAGCACCTGGTATATACAGGGTGATATACAAAATTTGATGTGAATAATTCAAGGACATATTGTTCAGATCAAAATAAGACTTTTTTTCCTATAAACATAATATGTGTCCTAAAATGCACTCCCTCCGAGTGTGGACTTCTCTCCAACTCCCCCAAAACTGGGTTAACATAATTTTCCAAGCAAAAAAGGGGGAGAGAGTGAAATATTAAATAATTGAATAAATTGAATAATCTTTTTTTTTTACGCAACTTATTACAGTGGCTGTAGCTCGAAGAGTGCATTTTAGGACAAATGTTCATAAGAGCTACTATATGATGTGGAGTTTTGATTTTCTCATGCCAGGTGTCTGTTTCCATACATCCTGGAATTTTGCTTCCAGGATTGGTTGAGACGGTCCAAGATCTAGAAACTCCTAAGATTGCATGGTTCTGGTCTAATCGCTGAACTCTATTTCCTCCTTGTCTAGCCAGGTAGTTGGCCCTATGATTTCCGGGTAATCCTGTATGAACGGGGACCCAAAGGATCTTCATCTTGTTGGCTGTGGATAACCCCATTGCAGATCATCAATGCACTCTGACACCAACAGCGAACTGACCCTGTATGATTAGAAGGCCTTGATAGCCGCTTGGCTGTCGGAGCATATCGTGAATAAGCTAGCATGGTAGCCAGGTAGCCTCTGTTGATATTTTCTCTAACACAGGCGAGTACGGCAAAAAGCTCTGCCTGAAATACTGTGGCAAAATTCCCCAAGGCATAATATGAGTTCCGATTTGGAGATTGCCCATATACCCCATCAGCTCCTGCTGATTCACCTGGAGCTATCTGTGTACCAGATGATTCCAGTGGTAGGAATCAGGCGGTACCCGAACTGATTCCTGTCCTCTCTCTTTTTGGGATAATGTGACTAAGGCCTTTTTGATGAATCTAATGACAGGAGCAGAACTGTCACCCGGCATCTCAAGGAGGGAAGCATTCCTTCACCGTCCAATTCCTTAATCGTGAATGCCCATACGTTTCCTTGCTCTACCCTCGATTATAGCTTCTCAATATTTTATTTACGAATTAAATATTGTAAAGTTTCGGAGCATCGGCTGGGAATAGTCCTGCACGATTCGATGTTGCGTTCCAATTAACAGTGCTGCTCCTAAAGTGGCGCATGGAGTTAGTAACAAAGCCTACACAGAACACGCAGAAAGATATGATGATGTGGTTGTGAGAATCAGAGAAGAAGTAGGACGGTGTATGTAGGTGGGTGTGGACCTCGTCTCGGGGGTTAACGAGGATAGTTAGCAGGCCTGCCACTGCGCATTTGGTAGTGAGTACATTACTAGCCTACAAAACACAGCTGAAAAACTCTGAAAGAGAGCTGATGGGCGGTGCCTGAAAAGGATGTTATCCAGCTCTCTTGAGCGAACCACATCAGTCATTGAAAACACTTGGGGTTTGCAAAAAGGTCCCATTAGGGACTAGTTGCTGACGTGAAAACGTTCCCCACCAGTACAAGTACCAGTACCACTAGTACCAGATAGCTTCTCAGACGAGCGACATGGCTTTGCATAACTCGTGTTCAAGGAAGAGGTACAGGGGAGGCAGACCTATAATTGTCTTCAGTGGCTTTCTTGGTGCCGTCTTCATTTCGTTATGGCAAGACAGGCAAATGGTTGTACCCTGTCTATATGTAGCTGAGTTTTTGATTTGCCGAATGCTGTACCTTGCCACCATAAGATTGCTCCGTAGGTACGTGATCATTGATGGACGTATGCCCAGAATGAGGCTGTGCTGTATATTCGATATGTTCCTTTCAGTTCAGCTTGGAGTCTAAGATGACCCAATAAGGTGTACTTGACTGAATCTTTAAATTGCAGGAACCTGCCGGAAAGTTAGAAGTTTGGGAGGTCCCCTGCCTTGCGTTTCCTAGTGAGGCCGGTAAGACTTTTATAATGGGAATTTTTTCATAGTAGTTGGATTATCCTTTGATCTACATTCTCCCTAGGTTTGACGTGGTCTTTACAGGCCCCCCTGTATATTGATTATAATATTCCTCAGCTTCAATTTCATTAATACTTTTTGGTTGATCTACAATACCTATAGAGATGATCATCCTGTAGAAATTATGACGATTTAACTCCGTTACTTCACCGCGGTTATATCAATTGTTTAGATTTTGATACAGAGGGTGATTCGAAAAATCTAAAATTTCAAAGTTTGCCACCGGATAACAAACACCCCATATGAGATTTTGCCATCAAATTTCGTATGGGGTTATATTAGCTATGCCTGAATCGGATAGGCTAGTCATACTGTTTCAAAAAAAGCCAAATAGATATTTTTGATATTATGGCCCCTTCAACAAACAAATGAAGGCCTAAAAAATCGATTATTTCAGATTTGTTCACATTTTCGAATAGAGCACGTTGGGTACTATGTTATAGAATATTTGTTTTTGAAAATCGGTCGACGGGTTCTAAATACACTGTATATAGTAATATAAATATAAGAAACAAAATAGTCCGGCTTGAAAGAATGAATTTTTGGTTTGTCACACTTTTGGGAATCATCCAGTTAAACTTCTGATGAGGGCCATGAGAAGGCCTGATTACGGTATTGTCGGTATTCAACCTCTGCATATTGTTTTTATTTTCTTGTTAAAAAATGACGTGAATATACTGAATATAGGCGGGGGCCGGTAGGACTCTAGTCAGAGATAAGTTACTAACTTATCTCTGCTCTAGTCGCTTGTGTCACGCTGTAACGTTCTCCCACCACGCGGCTGTATGTTGCTTCCTGTCTCTAGACGGTACTGACGGTAGGTCATTGCTCTTGCTCTGCTCTGTTTGTTCTTGACAGTGCAGTGCAGTTATATGACAAGCCAACCAAACCAACAGGCAACGTTGTTAAATCAAGACCGCGCAATGCGCTAATGCCGCCTTGCGCATGTATTTTGACTTGTTTTTTTTTATGTGCTCGTTTTCCTGTTCCCGTTCCCGTTTTCATCACATTCTTCTTTGCGAAGATAAAGGGTTTATCTGTGTAGAATCGATTCGAGTTATATTAATGTGAATTATAAGAATATACAGTGACTTACGACTAAGATTAATAGATATGTTAAGATAATAGAGACTGTATTTAATTGAGCGGGTGTTGAATCAGGTAATTAGCAGATTTGTGTATCGTAAAATTGTGCAGTAGGTGCAGGAGCTTTCTCTTTATCAGACGTAGCAGCAGCCATTTTTGAAGAATTCCTAGTCTCAAGAATTTTAACGTTGGTAATCCTCAGTATGTGATCCCATCCGAAAAGATTTTCTGATTCCATACATTCATTCAACATATTGGATTTATTTTCATTTTTGTTGAATTCATATTTTTTTCGTTCGTGAACTCTTATCTATCGCTAATTACGATTATCATTATACAAATTATTTGTATTTTCTTCGCCTACGTCATATTTGCCTATGATATTGATATAATATTTTTATGTCTATTTTTAGAACCACTATCAACAAGGATTATACCTAAGAAAAAACTTATCCTACATATTGTAGATTAGAATTGGGTTTTATAAACCCTATTTTCAATATACCTATTGGAAAATAATAATAATGATGATGACTGATACATTAAAATCAAATCTTATTTTGGGACTACCCAACAAAGTGTAAGTACCCATCTTCAGAATTTGTCATTACAAGAATGATGATTTTGGAGATATCACCATTATCATATTCTTTCAGGGACCTGGAAAACAAAATGGATGACATGGGCTGGAAGTCAAAATTGAAAATTCCCCCAAAGGACTGCAGAATACAGACAAGTGTGAGTATAAATTCTCATCAGATGAGTAATAATGCACCTTGATCACTTGACTACTTCAGATGTAAATCTTTGTTATTGATATCATCAATTGCATTGATTGTATGGAACATCTGTTGCCTGATGAACTCTATTTTGTTATTAATATAATAAATAATGGTTGTTCATAAAGATACTTATATTTAATTTATATTTAATTTTGAAATCTTAAGAGTTCAAGCATTCCTTTCACTCAGATGAGTTTATAGAATATCATTCAACATGGGTATATTTATATTTAATTTAGTTCATTTCTTATGGGAAATAGAGCTGTTGAATGAAATGTATATTAAATAATATAAGTGACATTTTATGAACAGAGCATTAAATGATTTTTTCATTAAAAAATATTCTTTATGATTACAAATGATTTATAATTGTAATAATGTGAATTATGAAAATCAATAATAAGATATTTCTGAAAATGTCACCCAATGAGTTCAATCTCTCCTACTAATATTTCTGGTACTGAAGTCCTTGAATTTCACTAACTAATGCATACCCTAAATACCTATACATTTATGAGTAATTTGCAAGTCTTTAATTTAAATTGCCATAATTGCATGTGATATATTTTCAAATTTGTTCTAACATTTATATTAAGATTTAGTAGGTCTGCAAAACTATGTTTGTAGGTGAGTTTGTAGGTATTAGATTTCATGCATCTTGTTTTCCAAAAAGCTTACATTAATTGTTTGATATAAATGAAATGCTAGATATAATTTTTCTCAATTAGGCTAGTGTCATACATTCAAAGACAATTATTGGATTTTTACCACAAATAGCCCATAATGGTTCATGGTTTATATCTGAGGGAGATTTAAAAAAAATAAGTCATGGGATTTTATACTCTGAAATAGGGTAGGTGAATTTTGGTATAAAAATTTGAAGGAATTGTGTGGAACTTGGTGTTCATTCTAATCTTATATCCTTAATTGTATTTTGAGTTGTGATTGTTGTACCTAGAATTGATAAGGTTCAGTGAATTCAAATATTGGCAGGTAAATTTTCTTGAAAAAATGAATCAACTTACATTGATTGTCAATGTCATGGGTTACATGATTGCTGACTGATAGTAAAGTTTGAATTATTATCAATTTTATTGATTTCATTATGATGGAGAAGGAGCATTGTTTTTCAATGAAGATTAGTTCAACCTCACTGACTCAGTTCTTTATTTTTGCAGGTATTGATTTGATAATCTTTATATTTAAGCTGACAAGTTTTGCTACTCATTTACTTTCATAAATGTTTAGTTAAAATTAATGAAGTTCATGATTAGGATATGCAAAAAAATAACAATTTATGCATTAAAAAAACACAAAATTTGGAATGAATAGCATGCTTCATAAGGGCTTAAATGAATTTAATAAATGCCACAATTTGTAAAAGAATCAAATTAAGCTAGACAATTAAAGTCATCATTAAAGAAGTCTTGGTATACTTTCTTTTTTTTTTTTTGTTTGTTAATGTGATCCAATCTATCAGTCTACTTATATTTTTCTTTAAATGTACTCCCATATATTCTGTAAGATATTTATACATATTTTGTAATTATTTTTTTGTATATTATGCTTGCCTACTTGATAAATGATAATAATATATAAACAAATATAAATAACTTGGATTGGTGTGAAGTTTAACAGGCACTTCCAGGTCTCATGTAAAATAGTTTTTTCAACATTATATTGATATAAATGAATCTCCTTGTATACATATACAATTTTTGATGAATTAATCAAAACTATTGTTTTGGATAAACATATTTTAGCAAGAAATCTAGTGCAACTCAATGATCTTATCCTTGAACACAGATTATATCCATTAGTTCATGTCATTGTGATATGAAGAGATCAAATTGAGCTTGGAAGTATACACTAACTTATATATTCCGAATCATTCTCTTCTTCTGTTGACATTATTTCATGAGTGTGATAGTTGTTAACAGATGATGAAACTGCATGAAATGCTTATTAATTGTGAACATGAAATTCTGATAGTCAAACATACATTGAGCCTTTGCTTTGTTGATAATGATTTTTAACAGTAACAATTGACTACTGTGTTTAGTGTTATTCAAAATATATTTCAAACTTGTGTCCACTCTACATTAGTCACTGACTGGCAGATTATAGATACATATCTTCATAAACGATTTTTCATCTCTTCAAACTAGAAATGCGTCAATCAAACTTTAAGTATCTTCCTTTATATGAGGGAAGCATGTAAATATTGAAGTGGTTGTAAAATACTATCATTTTTCGAAGCACTCAAAAAGTATTATTTGAATAATTGTAAGATGTCAAATATGAAATCTCAGCTCATATCAATCTTTGATAAAAATCATGTTGAGTGCGGGCGATGACGAAAATTTTACAAAAGATACCATTTGTTTTCCATGTCAAGTCACTCTTGAAATAACCTGGGTTAAGGTATTCTATGATGATTTTTTGGATTCCCGATCATTTCTACTAATAAATGAGAACCCAACTCTGATATTTCATTTAATGACCAACTAACTTTCATGTTACATCGACAAAAATGTTTTTCCTGTAGAAAATACAATTTTCAGGACGTAACAGACAGAAGAGGAAATGAATTTGAAGAGTTCTGTTTGAAACGTGAATTGCTAATGGGCATTTTTGAGAAAGGTTGGGAAAAACCTTCACCCATTCAAGAGGCTTCTATCCCCATTGCGCTCTCTGGAAAAGACGTACTCGCCAGAGCAAAAAATGGAACAGGTATAATTATGTTCAATATGTACCAGTGCATACACTATTTGCTTTACATAATACAAATACAATACAGCATTTTGATGATTTGGCCAAACTTCAAAGGGTGATTTATTTGAGTGTTTTTGAGACGGAAAGCTCATATAAACATACAGTGTGACCCATTTAAGATGGAAGCACCCTTATAAAACTTACATTTTTCAACCAATTGGAATGATTTTTTTTTGTTAGGTAGATATTCAAAAAGTCTATTAGGACACCAAATATCATGAATAAATCTCCATTTCCAGGGCCAACTAATCGGATTTTTCAAGGTCAAAAATCTAAAGAAATTACTAGCGATTTTTTTAGAAAAAATCTGACTACACCACTGGATTTGTGACATTTTCAAATAGGTAACATGTAAATTACGTTGAAATGCGTCAATCAATAAAAAAGTTATAAAGGAATGAAATTTGAAAAATATGCCGTTTAATCAACCCACCAATTCATGTTCAGGAATTTTATGAAAATTCTGTATACTCCACTGGATTCAGGATGTCTTGAAATATTACTGATCACAGTTTCTTCGAAATCTGTTCAGTAATAAAAATTGATGGGTTGATTAAACGGCATATTTTTCAAATTTCATTCCTTTATAACTTTTTTATTGATTTACGCATTTCAACGTAATTTACATGTTACCCATTTGAAAATGTCACAAATCCAGTGGTGTAGTCAGATTTTTTCTAAAAAAATCGCTAGTAAGTTTTTTAGATTTTTGCCCTGGAAATGGAGATTTATTCATGATATTTGGTGTCCTAATAGACTTTTTGAATATCTACCTAACAAAACAAAAATCATTCCAATCGGTTGAAAAATGTAAGTTTTATAAGGGTGCTTCCATCTTAAATGGGTCACACTGTATGTTTGGAAATGGATTGTTAACTTTTTCGAAACCTTTTTTTGTGAATATTGTAAAATTCTTTACTCAACTTTCTAGAAATTTGGCAGTCTTGTTTGTAGTTAATTGTGGGACTAATTAAGGCCTAATCAGAGAGAAGATTCTTCGTTAAGGGTATACCCCAAAAGGTCATTGACAAGTTTTTCAATATACATAATATCTATTCGAGGTTTTCAGGGTCATAATCTGACGTTGCGATGGCGTTAAAACTTGGAGAAAACATGCCTAACTTTCAAACACAGCCAGGAGTTCTGGATGTTTTCCTGTAGTTTTCACGTCATCGCAACGACAAATGATGACCTTGACTACCGCGAATACATAATATGTATTCGAGGTTTTCAAGGTCATCAGCAGAGGTTGCGATGACGTAAAAACTGGGGAAAACATGTGTAACTTTCAAACTAAGCCAGTAGTCATGGGGGTGTTTTCCCGTAGGTTTCACGTCATCGCAACGTCAGATAATGACCTTGGCTACCTGGAATATCAAAATAGTAGATTGTTTTATTAGGATCAAAAGTGACACTTTGTTTGACAAGCGAATTTTGCATTTGCGAGGCGGAGCGTTTAGCGAAGCCGAGCGAAAGCAAAATTTGCGAGTCGAACAAAGTCACTTTTGATCCGAATAAAACATGCTATTTTTTCTGCAACCGAAACAATTAAGTCAAATAAACATGTGAAGTAACCACCAATGCCGTGCCATATGTATGCAATGCAACAAATATTGACAAATAATCCATGTGGTGAGAATATTCTACCTGCATTAACAGCAGGTTAGATTTTCAAGGATGTTCGAATTGTAGTTTCAATATAAATACAACCACAGAGTGACATATTTGTGTATGGACCAGGTGCTCTAATGGCAAATACTGCGCCAGTGCCATCAGCTATAGGAACAAGACGTGGAAAATGTTAGGTTAGTGAGCATATCAACAATGATAATATTGATAATAGTGATTATTTATTCCTCCCCATACTACACTGTGTTTGACTTGATAATAAAATGAAGCTAAACAATATCGTTGTTTTGAGACAAAAAAACTATTGCTTGCCGTGATTATTCAAAAACAAGTTATCCATCCCAAGAATAACGAATAAAATACAGATCAAGCAAGTATTTGAATCTTGAAGGCTTCCCTGATCAAAACAAAAATTCTTAGCTGAGATGTTTATAATTCCGAGACTGAACTATAATAAGGTGTATTTATATATCCAGCATGGGTATGAAATGCCAAATCTGCTGAAATCGGAATCAAATGAGGTATGCGTCTCAACCCAAATAACCAACCGTCACAATGTTGTTTATTCTTGATGATGTCCAGTACATCCTTTTTAGTTCCTAGGAGCTAAAGTTCAACTTTAGCTCCTAGGAACTAAAATTCAATTTTAGCTCCTAGGAACTAAATATGTTGCCTAGCAACATACCTATTTTTGTGTCAGTAATAGAAACGTCAATTTAAGAGCTAATTTTGGTATCAAAATGGACGACTTTTGTGTCGGTTGCAGAAAAACATATTTATTATATTATCATAGATTACTTGCTATTTTGGTTGCTGTAGCTGAATCATCCCTTTGAAAGTAGTCATCACTGGAAATTTTCTTGACTTTTTCTTAAATCACATTGCATATTAGTAGTCTCTGCCTGAATTTAAATATTAGGAGGGGGGAACGATATGCAACATAAATAACTTGGAAAGTTTTTGAATAGGTTCAATTCCTTCTATGGATTAAACTCATGACTTCCACATACAGGAACGCCAAAAACAACAAACTGTTGTAAATTTTAAATTCGTACTTATGTTCTACTTCTATCCTAAATGGAAACGTAAATTGAGAGTAAATTTTAGTAAACAGCTCAAAATTGTACATCATGATTGGAAAACATTAGATTAGAGATTGTTTTTTTGTTTATTTGCATTTTCTGAGAACATTTACCATAAGTAGTGTATTTTGTACACCATCAGTAGAAATTTCAACGAACTGAATCCTCACCTACTTTTTCAAAAAGCAGATATTTTTCACCAAATTTCGTACAAAAAATGTAAAAGATTGAAAAAAAACCTAAAACTTGGTTATTTGAATTTTTCACATAAATATTTGAAGTTATGTGAAAAAAATGTGTATACAAAAGTTATAGACCTTCTTATTACCTACAAGTTTGCCACTCAACTTTTTTCCATAGGACTTGTAGTTTTGCCGGAAATCGAGTTGAGCCGTTTTTTTTACAAGCGTTCGCGATTCACCCCATACCCACACGCAATTTAGTTTGGGGAAGTGTCATTTTCCCGAAGCAGTGAGGTAAAGTTTTCCCAAACTGGTGCGGGAAAAAACATTTATATAATATTCTCGCAAAATATGAGTGCTGGGTGACACAATATGAAAATTGTAGGTATTTTGTTGCAGTATTTAGTAAGTTTGTACAAAATCATCCATCAAATTGCACTACATATTCATTATGAAAATGAAGAAATATTGAAAAATAATAATTGATTGATATATAAATCCCCCTATAACCTTTAATTGATCTGATCTGGGAAACAATTGTTGTCATGTAAATCAAAACACAAGTTGGTTAGTTCATTGTCTGCTAAATATGGAGAAAAAATTTAGTGAGCTGGTAGTTACAGCTCACTAGATTTTTTCTCCATATTTAACAGACAATGGTGTGATTCTCAGAGTGACAGACATAGTGTTACTGTCATTTTCGATTCAGTGGAATTACGTCGAAAAACATCCAGCTACAGATGCGATACAGATGATTTATTTCCAACAAAGTCTTGAGAAAGGTATGAGAAGCACTACACGGGATTTATTCAATGGTGCTATAGTAAAAAAGTGAAAACACCAAATAGAGAAGAAGTATTTTTGGCTCATTTCCTAGAAATGTTTGAAACCTAGAGGCCAAACACCATGGGCATGCTGGCTTCCGCAATAAGCTTACCTACAGAATGCTTCAAACCTCAGATCAACAAAGAGCTTCAAACAGTACACAAAATAGATATATCTCTAATTATTAGAAGATAGAGAATATATCATTATTGTTAGTTGTTCCTATTTGCAGGAATAATTGATTGAACGAATCAATCAATTTCCTATGCTTGTAGAAAATAGTAATTTTCCTAACAAGTGCGGAAAGTGATTCTTTCCCGCACGTGACTGCCGTTGACACGAACGACGCGAAGCGGAGTTCGGGCAAGCAGTCGAGTGCGGGAAAGAAACTTTCCGCATGAGTTAGGAACAATATTTTTTCTACAAGCGTAGGAAATTGATTGAATCGTTCAATTAATTATTCAAGCAAATAGCAACTAACAAGAGATATATATTCTCTATCTATTAATTATTAGTAATAGCTATTGTGAACTTACAGTTCGACGCATTATGTTGGTTCATTGCGGAAGCCAGCAGGCCCATTAGGAGTTTGGTCTCTAGGTTCCAGACACTTCTATGAAATGAGCCAAAAATACCTATTCTTCATGCGGTTTTTTCATTTATTCATTGTTGCACCATTCAATAAAACGCGTGTGTAGCTTCTCATACCTTTCTTAAGACTTCGTTGGTGATAACGCATCTGTATCAAATCCCTATAGCTAGAAGTTTTTGATCACATTGTGTGGCATTTCCACTGAATCGAAAATGACAGTAACGCTGTGTCTGTCACTTCGACAATTTCAAACTTATTTGAGGTTTGATTGGCATGACAAATTGACGTTTCCCGTCAGATCAATCCAAATCTATAGGGGGATTTTCATAATAATCAATTTTTATTTCTCAATATTTCTTAATTTTTACAATGAATAGTGCAATTTGATGGATGATTCTGAACATACATACTTAATACTGCAACAAACAAACTCAAACTTTCATATTCCATCATCAACCACTTATATTACTAGCGATTTTATCATATCTTTGTTTTCCCGCACTGTTTCGAGAAAATGACACTTCCCAAACTAAATTGCGTGCGGGTATAGGGTGAATCACGCACGCTTGTAGAAAAAATATTGTTACTAACTCATGCGGATAGTGTCTTTACCGCATTCAACTGCTTGCCGAACTCCGTTTCGCGTCTCGGGTCAACGGCATTCGCGTGCGGGAAAATATCACTCCGCACTTGTTAGGAAAATTACTATTTCCATTCATTATTGTTGTATTCTCTTCCTTTTCCAATGGGTTTCTTTTCACATGGGTTGATAGGCCTATAAATCTCCCGGTTTGTCGAGGTTTATTGTGCAACTAGTGGTATTCCAGGTAAAACTGGAGCGTACTGCATTCCGGTGCTGGAACAAATCGACCCGAAAAAAGACTGCATACAGGCGCTGATCATAGTGCCGACGAGAGAACTGGCCTTGCAAACGTCACAGATTTGCATCGAGCTGGCCAAGTATCTGGAGGTGCGTGTCATGGTGACGACGGGCGGCACCAATCTGAGAGACGACATCATGCGCATATACCAAAAAGTCCAAGTGATAATCGCCACGCCGGGACGCATACTGGATCTCATGGAAAAAGGTAACGCTTCAGGAAACCTATTCAGGTTGGCAGGATTCCTTATAGACCGTTTCATTAGGAATGTGTCCAGAGTGGAAACTAAGGTAATTTTGCACTTATCATGCGATGGGTTTTTTTCCGAAATTTTTTTTTGGTACTTACGTATTTTTGTCTGAAAAACACGAATTTGATAATGAAAATGTGAACAAACCATTATTTATTAAGATATTTCACTATAAAGTTACAAATTTCACCTGATTTTCTTGTGATTTATCCATGTTTAATGAAAAGAAGGAAGAATATCATTTGAAGTAATGGCGTGTGTAATGTCATTCCAAAGCAATCTATTGACATTTGACATCTCGTATTTGGATTGGATTTAATGGCCGTCATCTGGTATGCTTGCTCAGTGCTCACTAAATAGGAAAAACTCGCCATAAAAATCATATTTCCTGTTGAATTTTCTAGCTTAAAATGTGTCATTGAAGTACATCATGAGTATACGAAGTGTCCAATGACAAAATAAAAAGAGGAAGTGCCTGTAAATGCATCCAACACAAGGGGGAAAATAAGGCGAAATTTCGAACTTTTTCTTGAAATATCTCGATAAATAGTGGTTTGTTCACATTTTCATTATCAAATTCGTGTTTTTCAGACAAAAATACGTAAGTACCAAAAAAAATTTCGAAAAAAAAACCCATCGCATGATAAGTGCAAAATTACCGAAACTAAATTGGGATATCGAACTATTGGTCTATTTCCATTATTACCTAAAGTTCTTATGACACATGCCAGTTTTTCACTCATAAAATGAATCATTAATAAACAAAAGTTATTTATTTTCATATAGTAGTTTTTCTACATCATTAACCTGTATCACAGGATTATATCATATGAATGTGCGTGTGTTATGTTTAACAATTTTTAACTAAATTTACAATATATGAAGACTCCAACCTTTGACATGATAATTCACTACACACTGTTTTACCACTAGCCAAACCGATTTTTTTTCCGGAACTTGTACAGCTCAACTTGTATCTTTATACAGGGTGTTTCAGACTTGAATGTACATACGATACCTGTAGATAGAGGACACTTCGGTGGTTCCAAATCACCCCCCATCAATATGTCTACCGTCTTTGATAACTGAGATACAGGACGTTATCTTGATATTGGCAAAATCTTCATCTGGTTATAACTTCTGAACCACTTTGTATAATCCATCCATACTTGGTAGAAATATTTCTCTTATATTACCCATCAACACCAAATGAAAATCCGGATTAAAATCCAGGTCCGTCTTGAGGATCAGAAAACTTCTTTTATCTCAAAAACAACACTGTATGGCAAAATTTTATTGATCGGTTTTGATATTTGGAAAGAGCGGAAAAAAATGAATGATGTGACCTACTTTTCACGAGTGCGCATCCAATTTGAAAGATGGTTTATTATCATGTTTTGAAATATTCAGCTCCATTTCGAGGCATTTTTATTGAACTCATAATTCAAATCCTAATTATCGATAAATTTGTTTGACAGAATTATTTGTCAGATGATTTTAAAAACTTCCGAGGACTACTTTTATACTTTACTATTTATTCATACGCTGTGGTAAAGTAGACTGTGAAGAAAAAATGAAAATTCGGACAGTTCATAATCACTATAGTTGCGATATTATTGGTAAAGTTATTGTAGGCACAATTATGAACACTTTGAAATGTAACAACCCAATACAAGCACCACAAATAATTATCTCAACATTACCAATAATATCACACTAGTGATTATGACCTGTCAGAATATCAGATTTTTTTGCACAGCCTACTTAACCGCAGCTCGTGAATTAATAGTGGAGAATAAAATGAGCCCTCAAAAATGTATGATACCATAGACAAGTGATTCTGTCACAACAAATCTATCGATAGTTCACCTAATTTGACTCTAATGATGTTGAACTTTGAAGACTGTTATTTTTTTGTATTAAAATTGAATTTTGAATTATAAGTTCAATAGAAATGCCTCGAAATGGAGCTGAATATTTCAAAACTTGATAATAAACCATCTGTCAAATTAGATGCGCACTCGTAAAAAGTAGGTCACTTATTTCATTATTCTCCGCTCTTTCCAAATATCAAAACAGACCTTCAAAATTTTGCCATACAAGGTGTTGTTTTTGAGATAAAAGAAGTTTTCTGTTTTTCCTCAAGACGGACCTGGATTCTGATCCGGATTTTTATATGGTTTTGATGGGTAATATAAGTGGAATATTTCTACCAAGTATGTATAAATTACACACAGTGGTTCAAAAGTTATAACCAGATGAAGATTTTGCCAAAATCAAGATAACGTCCTGTATCTCAGTTATAAAAGACGGTAGACATATCGATGGGGGGTGATTCGGAACCACCGAAGTGTCCTCTATCTACAGGTATCGTATGTACATTTAAATCTGAAACACCCTGTATATTGCTATTTTGTATGACTAGAAATTGAAATAAATGCTTGGCCTAAAATTTATTGTTTTTCAACAACTAAGAACGGCTGTCGGCGTGATCTGGAGTATCTATAGATATCGTGAATTAAAAATGTAATGTATACATATTATTACATGAACAAATAGAGAAACTAAATCTCAATAGACCAACGAAAACTGCAACATGAATAACATGATAGCTTTTCGGTAACGGAAGATATTGACGATCAAATTTGGATGACAGCCGTTCTTAGTTGTTCACTCGGTACATCATTGTTTCCCGTGATGCTGAATTATGTTGAATCTTCATATTATGTTATAGTTTGCTAAAATCGATCGAAATAAACGGGAGAAATCTTAGTTTGTTTAAAAAAACAATTGAACTTGCCCCATTGCTTTAATTTGATAGATAGAACAAAACGTTTCAGACAAAAAATGTGGGGAATTGGCCAGTTAATATGAAAATGATATAATCAATATACTTTCATTTTTCTCCTTGAAGTTGGCTGTTCCGTATCTAGCGGACGTTTGACAAACTCGAAAATAATTTCCAGCAGTTTCTCTTGACAACTTTTATCAAGATTTTTTTTTCTCAAATCTATACGACCAATATCTCATGAGATATGGCCGCTCGCTACCCTTGACTGATCACCCCGTACAACAGCACAGTGAGAAGGCATGCTTGAATTAATGAATATCGCAAAGAACAAGATTCGTATGCCAAAATATTGTTCTAAAAATTGTTCTAAAATTGTTCTATCCGTCATTCGGTTGCCCCCTTATGAGCAACCCTCAGAAGTCTTCGAAAGTCTTGTGCGAGCAAGGAATGACGGGGGCCTTACCTTTTAACGTGTGAACCCAAACACTTGTGTGTGTGGAAAACTATTTCGATCCTTTGATTCCTCTGTAAACAAATAAAAAATTTAAGGTTGTGTTTCAATGTTTGACAGAAGAGTGAGGTTGTGTTTCAATATTTTACCTCCAGGGTCGGTCATCGTGCACGCGACCTATACATGTTAGTTTATTTTCATAGAATTCCTCATTAAAAATAAATTACTGTTCCAGGCGTGGCGGTAATGGACCAATGCAAGATTTTAGTGCTAGACGAGGCAGACAAGTTGTTGTCGCAGGACTTCAAGGGGATGCTCGACACGGTGATCAAAAAACTTCCCAAGGAGCGGCAAATATTGCTCTTCTCCGCCACGTTCCCGTTGACCGTCGAGCAGTTCATGAGGAAGCATTTGCGGAACCCCTACGAGATCAATCTGATGGAGGAGCTCACTTTGAAGGGGGTCACACAGTATTATGCGTTTGTCCAGGAGAGACAGAAGGTTCATTGTTTGAATACTCTGTTTTCAAAGGTGAGAATGGGCTAGTGGACTATATTGAAAGCTTTTAATTAATTGTCATTTCCCTGAAATGCCTAGTCATTTCCACATATTGTCCGCAAACAGTGTAACAGCATAACTTCCATTTTCAGCCGTTACTCTGTTTGCCGGAGGGTTGAGGAAGAAAAATATCCTTTTTGCATATGCAAAAGAAGGGAAACTGTTTTTCCGCCTGAATGAACCTTCTTCCTAGAAACTATATTTTTCAGGAAATTACTTAAGAGAACAGAAGAGACTACTGCTTCTAAACAACCTAAGTTGACTCGGCTTAAATGAACCTTCCTTCCCCCATTACAGGGAATGCCAGAAACTATTAGACAAACGGTGTACGAAATTTAGAGTTACGCTGTTTGCCGGCAATACGTGTTGCAGTGGCGGCTCGTGATTTTCATGACAGAGGAGGCTGAATGATATGAGATTTATTGTGAAAAACAACTCTCTACTCACCCAAATCAATAGCTTTGATGACATTCTGTATACCAGTTAACCTGAACTTGATACTTGAAGAGATGTGTTCCTGTGATTTGCAGTGTCTATCCAATCCGCGAGGCAAATTTTTCAAATCATTATATCCGAATCGCCCCCAACATGATGACTTATCGGTTGAAAATAATACACAGTATCAACAAAATATCTTATTCCTCACCTCAGATCCCATCAACCAGATATATTTTTAATAATTATCAGAATTGAACGAACGATTTTGTTTGTTACCTGTTACAATCAAATTTTTTAATTCTGGCGTCGGACGTTTGTTTTTCACAATCAATTTATCTTCATAAGACAAAGCACTGAATGGGTTCACCAAAAAGTATTCCACTAAATCGCAATTGTTCAAAACACTCATTTTTCAGAAATTTATAGATCCCCTAACCATTAACCTAACATAACCTAAACAATGCACTATGCACTAGCGCTGGATTGTCCGCAATTCGCGAAGCGACACAACAAACACGTGCTATTCGGGCGTATTCGGACATTTGCATTGCGTGCGTGGGTGAAGGATGTGATGTGAAGGAGTCTAGCCTCCTATAGATGTTGCCAAGTTGAATATTTTACGCGTGATTTGCAGACTTCAACTTGTGATGCGTGAGCAAGCACTGTTGCCAATTAAAAAAAAAAATACCTTAAAACAGAAAATAAAATCAAAATCCATGTATTTTGGTGTCCTTTTATTGAGAAAGTATAGATAATATCAGTTTAAGGAAAATCTCTGAGGAGGCTCAGCCTCTGTAGCCTCCTCTGAGGAGCCGCCACTGCAAATAACTAGGCATTCCAGAGAATGACGAATTTCACTGTATGACGGGACATATACAATGATATAATATTTGTTCCCGTGGAATCTTTGTACCCAATTTTGAAGTAGATATCTTCAACCCATTGAGTTGAAATATTGTATACCCGTTTAGTTTGGATGACCATGCAAGATAAGATGTGGCGTTATTCTAAACCCAATATGGCGGAACATCCAAGATGGCGAAATAGTTGTTTTTAATGTACTTCTACAATATGGTTATCAAATGAAAGGGCTCGTTGAGAGCACCTTGAAAAATAATATGACGTCATTCCAAATCCAATATTGCGGACCATCCAAAGAAATAAAGTGAATGCTTTGATCAAACGAACAAAGGCCCAATATATCAATAAAAAGTTTGAAGACTCTGAAGGCAAACCGAAGAAAATGTGGGATACAATAAATTATTGTCTTAGAGATGGATCAAGAACTAACAAGAAAAATCACATTGAATCAATAAAGGTTGATGATACAATTGTTAATAATGATTTGGAGATAGCTGAAATTATGAATAATCACGTATTGGTGAAAAAATAGCAAAAGAAATAATCACATACTATAATAACATTCAACGTAAAAATATTAGTCCTGATTATAACAACTCCACAATGATTTTGTTTCCCACTGATGAAATGGAAGTTATTGAAATAATTCAGTCTTTAAAGAAAACATGCTCAGATCCCGAAGGTTTAATAACTAAAGATATATTCGAACTAAAAAATATTTTGGCCAATCCATTATCAAAATTAATCAATAAATGTTTTACCAGTGGTATATTTCCACAAGAATTAAAGCATGCTTCATTAAGACCAATTTACAAAAGTGGAGATTCTCAAGATCCAGAAAATTATAGACCAATCGCCTTATTGAGCATTTTTTCCAAAATTGTTGAGAAGATTCTTAAAAAACGCATTGTAGATTTCATAAATAGAAAATATAGCTTTGACATAAATCAATTTGGTTTTCAAGAAAATAGTGGCACACAAGCGGCAATATTACAAGTAATACAAGCAATACAAAAAGGACTTGATACCGGAAATTATGTGATAGCAATTTTTGTTGATCTCAAGAAAGCTTTCGATACAGTAGACCACATAACACTTTTGGAAAATTTAGAATCAATGGGACTCAGAGGCATGATAAGGAACCTTTTAGATTCGTATCTTCAAAATAGGACAATCAGTACCAAATCTACCAACTCAGAGTCTCATAGACTACCGATGACTAAAGGTGTCCCTCAAGGATCTGTTTTAGGACCAATTTTATATTTATTATATATTCAAAATATCACGAAAATTGATACAGAATGTAATTACACTATTTATGCAGACGATACGGTACTTTTATATGAAAATAATAATCCTATCATTTTAGAAAATATAATAAACAGAGACTTGATGAAATTTGAAAATTGGCTGCATTCAAACCTCTTATCAATAAATACTGATAAAACTGAATATATGATTTTTCAACAAAAAAATAAACAAAATATAAATTTAAATCTCAGAATTAAAAATGAATCTTTGAAACAAACTAATGAGAAAAAGTATCTTGGGATTTGGTTTGATGATAAATTGAAGTGGGACAAACATATAAATGTTTTGAAGAAAAAAATATCTCCTATTATTGGAGCCCTGAGAAGATGTCCCAAGCTGAATAAAAAAGTTGCAAATATAATTCTATATTCTCATATACTCAGTCGTATTAATTATTTGATAAATGTTTGGGGATACTGTTCAAAAAACAATTTTAATAAAATATCTGCATTATATAAAAAGACATTGAAAGTACTGTATCGTTTACCATACGATACACCAACAAATCAATTATATAAAATAACTGAATCATTCTCATTAGAAGAAATGTTCAAAATCGAAAGACTGAAAATTACATACAATATCATAAATAAAAGATTGAAATCTAATTTTATTTTAACACGAAACAATGAAATTCATAATTATCAAACTAGACAACATGGTTTATTTCATCTTGATATCGCTAATACTTCTATAGGCCAAAAAAGATTCACCCACGCTGCTCTCTTGGAATATAACAAATTACCAGATAATATAAAAAATTGCAGAAATACAATAAAATTCAAATACCATCTTAAAAAATTTATCATTTCTGAACGAAATAGATGACTTACTTTTGATTCATATTCAAATTGATTTTTGCTCAGCAATATGAAATGATTTGTCAAAATTTAATAATTAATGTTTTCAAATATTTTATTATTCATCAGTTTATTATAATTGTATAGTTTTAGGTATTATTGTTAACTATACTTCCTTATACCAGAACTTGATTCTGACTGGAAGTAACATTTTCAATAAATAAATAAAATAAATAAATAAATAATATGAGTATCAAATTGAAGGGCTTACTGAGAGTAACTCGAAAAATAATGTGATGTTATCCTAAATACAATATGGTGGACCACCCAAGATAGTGGAATAGTTATTTTAAATCTACTTTTACAATATGTGTATCAAATGAAAAAGCTCGTTGAGAGCAACTCTGAAAATAATGTGATGTTATCCTAAATCGAATATGGCGGACCATTCAAGATGGCGGAATAGTTATTATTTATGCACTTCTGCAATATGGGTATCAAATGAAAGGGCTTGCCGAGAGTAATTGAGAATATTGTGATGACTCTAAATCCAATATGGCGCACTATTGAAGTTTTTTGTGATTTCCTACAAAATTAAAGGGTTTGCTGAAATTGAAAATGCACGTTTAAGAAAATCCATTTCAATCCTGTAACGTCGATTGATTAATTTATAACCTCATTAAACACAATTTATATGATCATAAAAGCTTGTGGCGATGATCAATATTTAATTGGATTAAAATCAAAAAAATGTTAACAGCATAATATTTTACATAGTTGAATTAGTACTAGTTTATTTGCACAAATAAATCGTTGAGTTTGAATTATTAAAATTTCAATTTAATTGGATATTGATCATCCAGACAAGCTTTTATGCCCATATAAATTGTGTATTCTTAGGTTATTAGTTGATAGTTAGAATTTTATACGGAAACTTTTATTTAAGAGCATTTGAATAAAAGCTTTTATTGAAACCACTCACTTCAATCGGCTCATTTTGACCTAAGGAGTAAGTGCTAACATTTTGTATTGTATTTTTTTAGGAAGTAGTGATTCTTTATGATATCAATTTTATTATCACAGAATGTAACGAAACTCCAACTACAATTTTATCCTTCTTGTTCCTGTCTTCATCTTTTCAGGAAATGTGCTAGCTCATTCGTCTGATAGCGAGATTATACGTTTTCATGTCCTTTTACTTGCTCTTGTATCTCACTTTGGTTTCGAGAAAAATAATGAAAAAGATTAATAATCATTCCCATTTTTTTTGTATTTCAGTTGCAAATCAACCAAAGTATTATTTTCTGCAATTCCACTCAAAGAGTGGAATTGTTGGCGAAGAAAATCACAGAGCTAGGGTATTCTTGTTACTACATCCATGCGAAAATGGCGCAAGCGCACAGAAATAGGGTGTTCCATGACTTCAGATCTGGCTTGTGCAGGAATCTAGTCTGTTCAGATCTCTTCACGAGAGGTGAGTTGAATGTGGATATGTGTATTTTCTGATGATTTTCATATGAGTATTTCAATGATGATTGCGATTGAGTCATAAATGAAAACATTGGATTTACTTTCATTCATTTACTTAGGAATAAACATCTGAGGCGATCCATCTTACAGTGGAGTGAAGGCAATAGGGCAGGACAAAATTCTTACAGTCGACTCCACCAAAGCTATACTTTATTGTAAGCAATCTTACCTGTAATAAAGTATAGATTTGGTGGAGTCGACTGTAAGAATTTTGTCCTGTCCTACTTAGGAATAATATTTTAATTTAATAAAAAAATATCAATATTCAAAAATGAAATTTGGAATATTCTATTGAGACTGTGAATTTCCTTATGATAAATGATGACAATTCAATATGATAATTATTACCAGTAGTAGATCTCATTTTCATTTAATATCTTATTATGTTTTTGAATATCTGAAATTGGAATGATACATCAACTTTCTTCCATACCAAATCTCTCTCTCAAACACTGCAGAAGGCGTTGTGGTTTCTTTACTTGTATATTTTGAAATCCCTGTAACATATCACATATCATTTTTAGATGTGGAAAGTAGAAAATTGTATTTCAGTGCGTCTTTCATTAATTAACATTTAACTTAACACAGTATAATGTATGTTCCCTTATGAAAAATATGTCTTTTTTTTTTTGAAAAAATATGACATTGGTTTCTACTTGATATGGTTAGGCTAGGGAGATATTTCAGAACATATGGAGAAATATTAAAATTTTTCTTGAAGAAAGTAAACAGTGGCCAATGTAACATGGAATCAGCAATGGTAAATATTTAAAATACATTCTCCTGATACCATATGTTAAAATACATTGTGTAAAATCGGACGAACAAACATACCTTTCAACAGCCCAATTAATAGGTGTTAAAGAATGTTCAACAATCGCCTGTTTCAACATAAAATTACGTCCTACTAGATTCTTCGGATACTAGGACTGTATGAAATGAATTGATTATTTTGAAAATTGAATATTGCCATGGATATTATTTAAATTTATCATGAAAATAGCAAAATGGTTACTTTCTCTTAGTAACATGAAAATATGGGTATGAATTCCGCCCACTTGTATGGGCGGAATTCAAACACATTATTATTTTGATGACTTCAATTTGCGTGGATCTTGATCGGACCTGATGAAGCATTATCATTGACTTGAAATGACGTAAAATTGTCGGCCAATGAACAGCTGAGGGGGGGGATAAACCTGAACATTTTTCGTAAGACCAGTAAGCGTACATCAAACTTTCACATTTCCCACTATTCACGAGATGTGCGACATCTAGGATACATAATTCGAACTTCAAACTGGGGGAAAACAAACTGTTGTCTATGGATAAAGTGCATAGACTACATTGCATACAGCTTGCTGTAGCTGTAGTTGTCAATGACATAAAGTGTTGGCACTGTTAGTAGTGATGATGGTTGAGTTGGTTAATTTTTTTACATTATTACATTTTTATTAGTTTAGTGAACAGTGAACGGGTGAAGAATTGGAGATAGTTCAAACAATTCAAAATAATTATGACAAGCAAATCAAAAAAGTACTGCTCAGTACAATAATTATATTTCGGAAAGTGTGTCTATTCATTTTTCTCCAAAAGATCCAAAGCTAACCCAACAATGGGAAATATGTTTGAGAATTTGATAACTTTTATACTGATCTGAATTGTTTCAAATCCATTGTTCTACAGAAGTTCCTCTGGACCCCAACTTCAATTTTAGTTCATGTGGGGAAGATTTAATCGCCGAAGTTTGTAGACAAATTGCAAAAATGTGCCTTTTGTTGAAGTCTTCTGCCTCACACAAAATAACATGATTAGGCACGGAAACCTGCTTCTCCTTCCACTACTGTTCGGCTTTTTCCATCTAAATAGAGCAAAATATCTGCCAAAAGAACATCTACAACAGGCATTATTACCGTTTTCGATCGAATATTGACAATTAATGTCAAGAAATTTAAAAACATCACTTATCAGTACATAGTTCACATGCTAATGGAACTAATGGGATTGAGTGAGGATTGAGTTTGTTTTCCCCCAGTTTTGACGTGGCTTTGACATAGAACGATGAAAACCGAGCGCCACCTGGTAACATTGATTCCCGCGAATAATACAATACCTGTTTCCTACTTCATTGAATCTGCATACTGTGAAAAAAGTTGATGATTCCAATGAAGAGCTTGAATAGGTTTATTTGTCAATTTAAAATTACTGGAAGTTCTTATCTCGAATAACTAATATTCCTCGTATTATACCTCAATGTACACACATATTCTTGTATAATATCGACAAGTTCAACAATTTTTTTCCCTCATTAATCCCAAAAACTAGTACAAGTTCATAAATACTGATACATTGTCGTATACATAACATTAATTACATATTATTTGATTTTGTTATAAACTACTCAACACTAATTTCGTCGCACACCAAAATGCCGCCCCTGTTATAATGTGAATAACTTTTTTCAGTTTAGAACAATTTGAATTTGGTTCACACTGTTCGATAGCCCAGTCCTTCAGCTATAATCTCGAACTTCATTGAAACAAAAGGGTATTCACATAAAATCTCTACATGGTGTTTTCCGACACTGTGCGAAATTTCGGAATATTCAAAAGGCTCTCAAATGGTGAAACAAATTTTTTTCTCAACTTCGACAACAGAGGCATGAAGATGATCTCAATACCTCGAGATATTTGGCGAATCAACTTCCTATCTCTCTTATTTACAGAGTGATCTCAAAAAATCAACTTTTTGGTTTTGCAGCCATAACTTTTTTCCACGTCAACCGATTTTGGAAATCTTAGGCTCATTTTGAAGATAAAACTTCAGATGAAGAGATCAGAATATCAGAATTGACTCAAGATGGCTATCAAAGATCTAGAGTTTTCTTGAAAGTGACCCAAATCTGGAACGCCCTTCGAATCTTGGTTGGGAGGAGAATTGAATGAAAATCAACTTGTTCTCGGAAAAACAATTCATTCTGGATGCGTCCATATTTTCCTCGCTCTCAGTACTCAAGAATGTGCGTGAGAAAACACAATTGAAACATGTTCTTGCAAAAACATCAGACCATTTCTCCTCTGTAATGCATGGCCCGCCGTAACCAACGTTACAAGAATCACAATGAGTGACTAACAAACCCGACCAGCTGAGGCTCTTCATAAATGGTGTACCAACAAGAGCAACGGATTTTGATTTCTTCAATAAAGTGATTTTTTTAACAGTTGTCACGTACATAACATGCGATTTAAGAATATGGAGCAGTATTCAAGCAAACAACGTTTATTTATTGTAAAAACGCATTTCAAAAATGGTGAAAGTTTCACGGAAACAGTTTGCCAATTACGTGAAGTTTTCAGTCGCAATAATGCGCCGAACGAATCGACAGTAATAACCAAACAATTCGTGTCGGAGATAAGCCCTTTGAATTGATCGGACTGTCGTGTTTAGCAGATCCGCGATTTGGAGGGAAGATAATCCTTGTTCCCTCATTTGTGGAATCAGTTCCAACTGGTCGGGCGTTAGATGCGGCATCGAAACTATCAAAATCTGTTTATGATTCGAAAACGACGTCTAACCTGACTTGTCAGTCACTTACTGTGATTCTTGTAACGTTGGTTGCGGGCCATGCATTACAGAGGAGAAATGGTCTGATGTTTTTGCAAGAACATGTTTCAATTGTGTTTTCTCACGCACATTCTTGAGTACTGATAGCGAGGAAAATATGGACGCATCCAGAATGAATTGTTTTCCCGAGAACAAGTTGATTTTCATTCAATTCTCCTCCCAACCGAGATTCGGAGTGCGTTCCAGATTTGGGTCACTTTTAAGAAAACTCTCGATCTTTGATAGCCATCTTGAGTCAATTCTGATATTCAGATCTCTTCATCTGAAGTTTTATCTTCAAAATGAGCCTAAGATTTCCAAAATCGGTTGACGTGGAGAAAAGTTATGGCTGCAAAACCAAAAAGTTGATTTTTTGAGATCACTCTGTAAATAAGAGAGATAGGAAGTTGAATCGCGAAATATCTCGAGATAATGAGATCATCTTCATGCCTCTGTTGTCGAAGTTGAGAAAAATTTTTTTTTCACCATTTGAGAGCCTTTTGAATATTCCGAAATTTTGCACAGTGTCGGAAAACACCATGTAGAGATTTTATTTGAATACCCTTATGTTTCAATGAAGTACCAGATTATAGCTGAAGGACTGGGCTATCGAACAGTGTGAACCAAATTCAAATTGTTCTGAACTGAAAAAAGTTATTTACATTATAATAGGGGCGACATTTTGGTGTGCGACGAAATTAGTGTTGAGTAGTTTACTTGAGAATTGATATAAAAAAATACACAAAAAAATCAATTACACGTCATACCTATAACAAATCACTGAAAAAATAAACGAGGAAGTATGAATCTTATGTTCTTATATAATTCAATTTGATTTCCCCCTATCCTTCCGGTTCCTGAAGATGTTTTTTCATTACCATCACCAATGGGCAATAAAAAATTAAATCAAAATGATTTGTTCCCCCCGATCAGCTGATGAAAACGAGGAGTGTGCCATTTTGTGACGTCAGGTGATAGTAATTGAAAATTTCTTAGAACACAGTGGAGTAGGTGGATGGAAAAACTGATTCTTTTTTTTTTTGCGAACGAAAGGTATCGATGTGCAAGCAGTAAACGTTGTGATAAACTTCGACTTCCCGAAAATGGCGGAAACGTACCTGCACCGCATCGGCAGGTCCGGCCGGTTCGGCCACTTGGGTATCGCCATCAATCTGATCACCTACGACGACAGGTTTTCATTGCACCGCATCGAACAGGAATTGGGCACGGAAATTAAGCCCATACCGAAGGTGATCGATCCCGAATTGTACGTGGCCAAGCTCGATCACGAAGAATTGGAGTTGGCTAAGTAACGCGCCTAAAGTGATCCCGTGTACATAGTTGTGTGAAAAAAAAAAAACAGAGAAAAACGGACCCGTCGTACTTTTTATTTACTTATCGAAGAAAAGAAGATATTTTTTGTTTGGAATTTTTATATGAGGAAAGGAATTTTTTCTGGGTTAAATCTGGAAAGTGTATATTTCGCTATTGAAGCTGTCATGGCACGTTAAATCCATCCGTGTAGGGAGCGAGACCTGGGCAGAAAGCTTCCTTTCAGACTGAAGGAACGGTCGGAACGTTTCGATTTTTTTTCTGATTATTCATTGCCCAATCTGTGATAATACATATTACATAATTTCCTGAGGAGCTCGAGAGATTATTCCGCTATTAATTCAAATTCAACGAGTCTGAGGCATAGACCTATCGGAAATATGCATTGACGCCAATATATTCAGGGAAGGATGGATTACTTGAAGGCAAACTGTCATTATTATGACATAAATGACATTAAACATGAACTTGGATATGTTAACATTACCATGGGATATGATATTATGGTTACATTTCTCACTGTTCACGATTTCATTTAGAATTTTTGAAAACAGTAATATGATTGTGCAGCATGCGAGATATGGGAATGATACGATTATCACTAGATTTGGTAGCTTTCTTTTCTTTTCATTGACAATCAAAATATTGAAAATTGAATACAAGTGATACATGATTTTTATGATAATCAAGTTTCTTGCGGTATAAATGGAGTTGGAATTGAAGCTATATTGGTTCACTACATAGACAATCATTTAAATCATTTCATGAAAACCTATGGAATATATCAATTTGTATTGGGTATTGTAAAACACTAAAGATGTCCACAAAATTCCTGAAAACATATTTTTCGCTAACGCCGTAGCTTTTTCTAGTGAAATACTGGTTCAATAAATAAATCTAACATCTATTTCACCAACTTGAACAGTGTAACCCACTTGAAACCGAAGCACTCCTATCAAATCCACACTTTTTAACTTTGGTTTGAGCAGAAAAAGTTTCAAACGATCTACTTTTACAAAAATTTCAAGAAAATTTGACCACCACTAGATTCAGCATCCTCCAATGATTCTCTCTTGAAATGAAGTAATGCATCAATGATTTCCAACATTTGTGTTGACAATGTTGCCAACTATCAATAATTTCATTGTTTGCCAATCAGAGTGTAGCTTGACAGATCATTGGATTGCCTAATTAACCTAATTGAACGAGGCTATATTCATTGGTGAAGTTGATTATCGCTTATGATATTTCGCAATTTTTAATATGAAAAAAAAAACCTGCCCTGAAAATTGAAATTGTATTTTGCAAATTTCTATAAACGTAGAACAAAAAATTGAATCGGATGAATACTAAAAATACTTATTTTGAGGGTGCCTTGGTCTTAAGTGTTACTTATCTTATCTTGAGGTTACTCTGTTCATATGTACTTGCGAACCAAAAAGAAGAGAGAAGGCTAGCTAATCCTTCGTTCTTGAAAGTATGCACAAAATCAATATTTAAATTCGATGTGACGAACTAACTTGAACGGAGTTATGTAAAATATTACCTACTAAGCAAAATTAAGAGCCATGAATTGTTGAGGTCCATTTGAAATTTTCGCATTTGATAACGATCAACTAGACCACAATAATTCACCATTCAAATATTTGTTGCATCATTTCTTTCAGGTTGTTAAGTCACAACAAATATTATAGATATTGTTCATATCTTCGAAATTGCGGATTAGCAAAAATTCCGATCCTTTAGGTTTGTTAGTACTATATATCAGTTAGGCAAATCAATGTCAGATTTATTTCTCATTCAAGTATTTCACCCGAAAAGTTGATATGCCATGGTGGGTTTTTGAGAATTTTGTGAAAATCTTATTGTTTGTGAACATTTTTACATTTACTATGGATTTCCATCCAGTAATGGCCTAGTCAATACAAAATCCATCAATTTTTTATTGCTTTTTCACTATAGAATTTCAACCTCAAATAAAATTTTGATATATTGCCTTTAACTATTCCATCCCTCATGTTCGCCACAGAACAAAACGATCAAAAGACACTGGCGATCAGTCTGTACTTTCGACTAGGTCTGTGGTCTGAGGCGTTCCGACTACTTCCCTTCCGAAATTGCATACCATCTTGTTACCCATGCAAATTCGGACCTTCTGAACGACGTTTCTTGCCATCGTCTCGCCATCATCGGCTCGGTTCGTGTTACTAAGCGAATTTGCACCATCGAATCTCCGTTGGCCTAGTAACACGCGGTCGGACCGTTCCGTGTCGACGGCTCTCGCGTGAAAAAAACGAATTCAAAGACTGTTGCTAGATTTGTGCGAAGGAGAAAAAGGGACTCCGACAGTGTTATGCAATCAGGATAAGTTGTGATAGTGCTCGCTCAAATATTATTAGGAGATTTTTTCGTCCACGGTGGCCGCTTCTCGATCTGGCTGGCGCCGTGCTGCTTGACGTGTTGAAAGAAGATCGGATATTAGATGTGCCCTCGATGTTGAATTTCCGATCGGTTGTAATGATTTCTGAGAGAGGCATGTTTGATATCTAAAATTCTTGTTGTGATATTCGGAGGATGTTCAAAATTAACTCACGGCAATTGATTGTCGAACAACAAGTACAAACTGTCCATTTATATTTTTCTACCTACCGAGATTTTGATTTCTGAGAAATGGGGGGGAATTCGATATTTATATCATCAGATTATATTGTTATTTGTATGCTGAAAGTATTTTTTTTGTATTGGGTAACACATTTTTGCATACATCTAACAAATTTATTTTGTTATAAAAATTTAAAAAAAAACTGTGGAGGGCTGTTACATTGTTTTAGGAAATTTGAATCGTTAAAACAAAAATTTTGCAGTTATTTATGAATTTGTTGTATTCATCTGAAATATGTTGTACTTTGAAATGAAATAGTAAAAAAGTGCCCTCTGCAACAAAAAGTTGTTTTATTACATGGTTTGGCGAGACAATCTAAAGATAGATAGATCGATAGATATTTATTCATCATTGAAGTTAACACATATAAACTTACCAGACTAGTCGAGTTCCATTCTCTTCCCATTCACAAAACAAAAACATTGTACATACATTTCCACTCAATCTCTCACACATACATATACAGTGTCATACATGAATTCGGCATCATATGGGAAAAACTTTTATTAATGACATTTTGGAATTCAAGTTGGACGTTGAGTTTTGCTTCAAAAAAGATGAAAAATGGCCTACTCAATCGGGGTCACGTGACTTTCGCTACATGTCAAAAGTGACATTTTTCAAATTAATCGCTGAAAGTAGGCTTATTTGTTCGAATATCGAAAAAGTTCACTTGAAAAAAGTTGTTTCTACTTCAATTTTACTCATGCTCCTCGAATTTGATTTTTCTATTGCAACTTTTAGATTTTGATTTTTTTAAAATTTTTCGAAATTTCTGTAATATTTGAAGAATTGTTAATTCCACGAAACTACTTCATACCAGTAGCTTTTTCATGCTACCCACTTTCAATTACTTATTATCACTGATCATGGACAGAAATATGATTTTCTTTAGAAAATGATAATACCCACTTCCAAATTCTGTTATGTTTGATGCAAAGTTGATATCGTCAAGCATTTAGAAACGAAATTCATTTGAACTGATCTTTTCAGTACTGAGAAAATAAATTCAAATGAATTTCGTTTCTGAATGCTTGACTCAAACAGAATTTTGAAGCGGAGATTATCATTTTCTGAAGAAAATCATATTTTTGTCGATAATTAGTGATAATTAGTAATTGAACGTTAGTAGCATGATGAAGCTACCGGTATGAAGTAGTTTCATCGAATTTACAATTTCAATATTACAGAAATTTCGAAAATTTTTAAAAAATATCGAAATCCAAAAATGTAATAGAAAGATGAAAATCCGAGTCACATATGTAAAATTTAAATAGAAACAACTTTTTCAAGTGAACTTTTTCGATATTCGAACAGATAAGCCTACTTTCAGCGATTAATTTGAAAAAATGTCACTTTTGACATGGAGCGAAAGTTACGTGACCCCGATTGAGTAGGACATTTTTCATCTTTTTTGAAGCAAAACTTAACGTCCAACTCGAATTTCAAAATAAGTCATTAATAAAAGTTTTTCCCATATGATGCTGACTTTATGAATGACACTGTATATGCAAATAGAATTATTCCATTATCTCGAAGTGAGATATTCTTTCTTCAACGGAATAAAATGCATTTTCACATAAATAATTGAATATTGTTGTTTTGAAAGTATTGACATTTTTCTCACCAAAAATATTGTTAAAATGATTAAAACATAATATTCCTTGATATATAGGAGGATTCTGTCCAACAGTAAGCCTTGAAAATGGTAAACGAAGGTAATTCTTATTTTGAGTATGGTGATTGTGAATATCATTACTTTTGATGTACAAATCCTGCTCTTTTTTATATTCAAAGTCGAAAGATATATATAGAGAGATGGTATAGTAATAACTGACAATACCTTGAAATAACCCTTACATGATGCATTGTTTTGAACACCCATTATGCTTCTAATGATTTGCTTCTGTGCATTAAATACTTTGTCACTATGTGGTGAATTTCCCCAGAAGATCCAACCGTAAATGAATGTCGACGATACTAGTCCATGGTATGCCATTCTGATAACATCAAAAGATACAGTGCCCTTCAGCTGTCTGATGATGAAATTGATACCTCTTAATTTTTTTACCAACTCAACTTTTCATCAATTGTAACGCCCAGAAATTTTATACTTGTGACAGAAATGTATAGAAATTTAACTGGTGGGCTCACTCTTCAATTGTTTCGTCAGACGTGGGGTTCAGGTATTTGCGATAGAGGCGCCATAATCGGAAAATCGTTCAAAACCTTGTTCTGTGAGGGATGAATCTATTTCCGTCATTGTTCTGTGGTCGAATTAATACTGAGCTCAACATTTTCATTCAAATTTCAATTTGAAATAAAACCAAGAAATCTTTTTTGTAACCGATTTT